CCTGACAGTGACGGAGCTTTGCCTCCGCAGAGAGGCCCACTGCCGCCTGCAGTTCTGCAGGAGAGAAAACGCCTCTGTCTTGACAGAGAAGACCTCATTTTATACTGCAGAGCAGTGAATGGCGCCCTGTGTGCGCGTGGGTGTGGGCGTGCTTGCTCCCTTTGTGAACGCACCACTGGGCACCGTATCGGATGGAAAGGCACGTGTGTAGGTGTGCAGAGCAGACTCATATACAGCCGTAACGATGCAGATTCGGTGTGTGCCGATCTGGCCCGGAGGCTGCACTTGAGGATTTCTGCACATAGGCGAGGAGGCTGAGGGCACTGGGCTCTTCTCACGCATCTCTCACTTTTACTCCAAGCTTTGCCACCCCATTCCCTCTCTTTCTAACTCCTTGGAAGCGTGTCTTTCCTTCTAAGAGTTCTCATGGTTCAGGACAGAGAGCACAGGTCTAAAAAGCCCAGAGACCGGGTATGCGGCCCCGACTCTGCCACAGTCACCCTGTTCACTTTGAGCCAATCGTTTCTGTTCTCTGAGCCTCATTTGCTTCATCTGTGATATGGGGTGCTAACCAGCCCAGTCAACACTTAGAACTTAAGGTTTCAAATCCCTGATCCCACCTCCCTTACTCTGCACAAAGTCCTCCCTTTGCTCATCCTTACCTATCATCACACCCTGGGGAGGGGGGCGGAACAGGAAGACTCAGGACTCCCCAGCTCTGAGGAGCTCCCAGGTGGTTCTGGAGATGGGTCTTCCTTCCTCCTGTACCCCAGGCTCCTGGCGCAGCAGGGTGGGTGGGTGGTGGCAGCTGCAAGGATTTCTAGAGCTCCTGGAACACTTCTTGAAAACCACAGATCTAGGCAGCCCAACATCATTGCTTTGGTTTCTGGGAGCATCCCCAGGGTTCAGGGTCCCGGTGCATGGATCACTAGCAAGGCTAGATCAAGCATGTCAAACTCGCGGCCCTCGGGCTGCATGCCTCATTTATTTGGCCCATGTTAGCCTTTGAGTTTGACAAGCTTGCTCTAGATGGCAGTGTTTCTGATGAAGATTCGGCCTCCTGGATGAGAGGCAGGGGATCTGAGCATCTGACCGGCAGCCCCTGCTTCTGGAATGGGTGCTGTCCCAGGGAAGTGCAGGCTCTGCCGCCTGGAATGTCCCTGCAGCTGTGCATCTGGGAACAGGAGGCACTGAAGGGGCAATGCGCTTACATACCTTCAGGGGGCTCATCATCTGCCCTGCTGTGTTGGCGGGCCTTCCAGGGGGCCCTCCCTCAGGTGCCTGGACTACTCACAGCCTCCCTGGCCATCTGATGCAGGAAGAAACCAGAGAGCCTTCTGACTCAAACCTGCCTCAGAGCTGCACCGTTTAGGCCTGTGGCTCCCATTGGCTTGAGTGAGAAGTGACCCAGCACTTGGCTCCTCTGTGGCAAGAAACCCATTCTCCACAGTCCGGCACTCAAGGCCCATGACACTCTCCAGATGTGAATGACAGAGGCTAATGCACGTAAGGCAGTGCGTCCCCACCCTCTTCATGCCCTGGAGCGTGTAGAGAGCACCAGCATGTATATAGCTCCTGGGGACAAGAGAATAGGCTGCCTATGGTGCCACGGCCTGAGGGACAGTATCTGAGCACCCCTCTACCAGGCGCTGGGCACTTGCGCATGCGGCATTGGGATGCTCACATGCAAAGCAGTTAGCGGAGGGCCTACCGCAGCGCTTCTAAACGTTGGCTGCTGCATTACTATCCCCTGGGGAGCTTTAAAAAATTCTTTTGCTCAGGCCTCACCACAGACCAATTGTCTAATGATCTTGGGTGGGGAGGCGTTTTTAGAGCTCCCCAGGGATTCTATAGCTCCAGGAAGGTTAGAATCACTGGGCCAAGACATGGTGAGCATTCGGCAAATGTCAACTCTTTGCAATGGACATCTCGTGTCAGCTCTTTATGAGAGATGCCTCCGTGTCATGGAAGGTGCTGTTCTTGCCTGTGCAGGGGGAAGGGCTGGACTGGGGGGTTGGCCGGCTGGACCTCACAGGGCACTGCTGTTCAGGAGAGATGAATGCTGGGTAGGGCAGCCTGGCATCTATCTCCCTCAGCCAGGTCTCAGCAAATTGAATTAAAACCCATATTTTTTAGCTGCTGCCCGCCTGGCTGGCTGGCTGGCTGTGGAAGGAGCTGAGGCAGGGAGCACCTCAGGGAAGGGAGAGCTGTTGAGGAGACCCCAGCCTCCTCCCGAGCGGGGAGAAGGCACGCAAGGGGTCCTTCTGGGAGACCATTCCCAAGGCTGGTCCCTCGGCCTCGGGTGGTCCCGAAGCCAGGCAGGCAGGGTGAGTAAGGGCGGCTGGCTTGGAAAAGGAGGGAGAGGCTGGCTCTGTCCCAGGGAGGCCCGGTCTGGGGAACAGAAGCGGCTGGAGTGTGTCCTGCTCAAGAAGAACCACGGTGGTTTGGAAGGACCACAGCCATAAGCCTGGATGGGCAGAAAGTAGTCCAGGACAAGGAAGCCCAGCCTGGACTCCAGCACGAGGGGGGGCAGCCCACCAGGGAGAATGCTGAGGTGGGCACCAGGACACGGGCTTCAGTTCCAATCCGAAAGTTCCCTGTATGTCCTGGGCTGGTCCTGTGCCCCTTTGGGCTTAGGCACTTCATTCACAGGGAAGGGGACGAGACAAACCCCTGGATCCCAGCTCTGATGTTCATTTTCGCATCTCTATGGGCAGATGCTATGAGGTGGGGCTTGCATGAGATCCATCTATAAGGACTGGTGGTCCCTATAGCACCTTGGGGAGATTAGAGGGGTGCCACCCCCCTCCCCCAGAACTTACTAGAAACCTGTCCCTTTTGGGTGGACTCTGTGTGCCAGGACTGGTTGGGAGTGGGCAGAGCAGAAGCTGAACTTCTAACCCCACTCACCCCTTGGCCACATCCCTCTGTGTGGGGCACAAATTGCACAGTGGTACCTGGAGCCCTGACTGTCCCCTGCATGTGCTCAGCCAGGATCTCACCCTCTGGCCGGGGCCTTGAAGCAAAACGAGAAGAGGTGACAGAAAGGCTGTGAGCAGAGCATGGCTGGGCTTTTGCCCTGGTCAGCTGTTGCCCAGGCAGAGAGGAAGGCGTGCCCATGCCAGCCTGCTCACCGCCCTCACCAGGACATACATCTGGGGATGTAGGTCAGAGTGCACGGGATACAGGACCCACTGTGGGACCTGGGGAACTCAGAATGTGGAAAAGGGAAGCAACCTGGAACTGAATGTGAACCTCAGAGCCATGGCTGGAGTGCCTCCAGCCCCATGGGCAGTTCCAGGGTGGACTGGCCTGCTGTACAAGACTCTGATCTCACCCTGCCGTCCACTCCAGGCCCCCCGTGTTCCTCACTCCGCGTTTCCCTCCTGACTCTGAGGCCCCTGCAGCCTCCCCTCCCCTCTGAGGACCGTTCAGTTTACAGAGCACTTTCACACTCCGCATCTCATTTGATCTTCACAATGCCAGGGCTGTCCAAAGGAAGGAAGCAGGCTCCCAGGGGTTAGGGCAACAAGCCAGGTCCAGAGACAAGTCCTAGCTGCTTGACTGACTAGCACAGCACCAGGTCCTCTTCTTTCCAGAAGGGTTCACTTTTTCTGATGCAAAGGCCTGATGTTCTCCTCGACCAGGGAGCGTTCCTGGACGGAAAGGCATGTGAGTCCTGGTGACCAGCCGTGGGTGTACCAGGTGGCCAGTGCTCACTACGCAGTGAAAAGAAACCATCGGCCCCCTGTGTGGACCCGGGGAGCTCCTTGTATCTTTCTGGGGCCACAGGTACTCCCTGTAGTTTCCATTACGGGCTCCTGCTCTATCTTCCGGTCCTCTTTTCCTCAGTTGGATGGGGGTCCTTGAGGGAGAACCCCAGTCTCGCATCTCTCTGCTTCCCTCAGGCTTCCTCAGCAAGGTGGCCAGAGCAAGACTCGGGCCCACAGGGGGGGTGGACAATAGCTGATGTAAATGGGGAAGGCCACAGCCTGGTTGCAGAAGATGAATGTGTGTGTGTGTGTGTGTGTAGGGAGTTCTTGGCATGCTGACATGTGGGGCAGTGACCAGAGCAGGGATGGACAGTTGGGGTGGGCAGAGGGTGAATACGTGGCCCGGGGGTGGGTTCTTAAGAGTTGGCTCTACCACCGATTCTGGCTGCATGATCTGTTTAGTTCTCCTTATTAAGCCTCAGTTTACCCATCCGTAAAGGAGGAAGTTCAGTAGGATCCCAATAACAGTAGCAACAGCCATTTGTTCTTCAGTGGAGAAATAAGATCAGGGAAAACCTATGGGGTATGTCAAGGCACATGAAGAAGCTGAGGCTCAAAGCCATCCAGCTAAGGGGCCTAAGCTTACGGAGCCCTGGCTCCGGAGCAGAGCAGCGTCTGTCCATTTAAGCTGCGGGAGGCCCCCCTGTGTGCCCCTACCACTTCCCTGAACATAGAGGCATTCCCCAGGAGATCACCCCCACCCCCCTGTGTGCCCCTACCACTTCCCTGAACATAGAGGCATTCCCCAGGAGATCACATTTGACGACATCCAGGCAGGCTCCCCAAAGCCAGCTGACCTTTTCAGGCCGGGGCTGCGGGGACACCAACCCAGGAGAGTCAGGACTTGCCGGGTTAGGAAGGCTTCATGGAGGAGGAGGAGCAGACACGGAATCGTGAGGCTGTGGGAGGGAGACAGCACAGGGCTTTCACGCTCTGGATACCTTGGGGAGGATAAAAAGGAGGGCGGTGAGCCCTGGGAAAGGCACCACTCGGAAGCCCGGCGACCAAGGGGGAGTGGTTCCCCCTCATCCTGTCCTCCCGGGTCCGCTGTGCAGCTATCAGCTCTCGCTGGTGTCTGCCTGGGCGAACGCGGCGGGCGGGGTCCCGCTCCCCACGTACCACCGCTCCCGGCCTAAGCCCTCCCCCAGGCGCCCATTGGCCTGCACCCCAGCCCAGCCTGCGGAGCGCGTGGGGGTGGGGATGGGGGTGGGGGAGGTGGTGGTCTGTCGCCTCCCTCCAGCCCGCAGCTTGGCGGAGGCGGCGCCTCTCCCTGAGAGCTGACCAGGCTGAGCGGCGAGCGGCGCGCGGCGGGAGAGGGACGGCGTGGGCCACCGCGCTCGGGCGGTGACAGCGGCGGCTGTAGGCGAGTGCGGTCCCCACACACGCACACGCACACGCCGCCGGGCAGGGACCCACGGCCCCAGGCGGCCGGCTGAGGCACGCACGCGGACACCCGCGATCGGCGCGCACTCCTCGGCGCACACGCTCCCCATCCCAGCGCGGCGCGGGCGTGGGCGCGGACTCGCCTCTGCGCGCCTCCCCGCGGAGTCTGCCCCGGGCCGACCCGCAGCAGCCCGCATCCCCGAAGGCCCCGCCGGGAGCAGGTAAGGCCCGTCCCGCTGCCCCTGTTCCTCCACACCCTGTCCACCCTCCCAGACCCCAGAATCTTCGCCCCTGGGGACTGCGGACCCCCTCCTCCAGGGCAGCGCGGGGCCAGCCTCCGAATCTAAAATGAAGCCCCCTCCCGTCGCTGCTGCCTTTCTGCGCGACAGTCTGACACCCCCACCTCTTGGGGCGACTGGTCCCTACAGCCCTTAGCGGGTGGGGTCGACCTAGCTACCTCTCGACCCTTCCCCTTCCGGTGCCAGAAGAGAGGACCTCGGGTTGGGAACGCACTGCGGACGAGAGACCTATAAGGACCATAAGGACCTGCCTCTCTATTCCCAAGGCACAAGGACGCGCTGCGTGAATTGGGGAGGTGACGCTGAGGGTCCCTGGGGGCTGGATGTCGCAGGTCTCAGGAGGTTTGAGGGCTGAGCAAGCGATGTGCTCGGTAGGAGATGGGATAGGGGCCAGAATAGAATGCCCCGCTTGGGGACACATTTGGGATTGTTGTCTCTCGGTTTCCCGCAGCGTGGAGGGGCTGGGTCAGGATGGGTTTGGTGGTCCCACCAGGAAACGCCATCGGGGCCTGTGGGAGAAGTGCACCTGCCTGCCAGGCTGAAGTGGGCCTGATCGAGACCCCTGCCTGCTGCCTTAAAGGCACAGGTCCTGCGGCAGGGGTGGGAGGAGGGGGCCTCATCCTGTGAGTTGGGGCATCAGAAGGGGCCAGGGCTCCGATGGATGGAGCTAGATGCTCAGAAGGGAGCCCAGCAGAAGCTGATTCTATTTCACATGGAGCTGGGGAGTGGAGCCTGGCCCCTGGAAGGAGCTCAGGCCTCCTTTGGAAGGTGCTGGAGGGGGGTACGAGGGGTGGGGGAGACTCCCCGCTAATGCTCCAGGCCATGTGCATGCTTTTCATGCAAGTGCGTCAGTTCCCTTTCTCCACCTCCCCCAGCCTCACAGTGTCCCACCAAGCCCCCCTCTAAATAAACCCACGCACGCAAAAACAAAAAACCAGGCACGCATTTGGCTTTTCCTGTGAGCAGCCCTGTGTGTTGGGGGGCTGGTGAAGGGGACTTGGGAGGGATGGGGCCACACACATCTGTGGAGAGCTGCCTGCCTTGAGGCTGCCATTGCACCAGGCTGAGAAGCATCCTGAAGGCCAGGCTAGAGGCATTTGAGTGGCTGTGGGCTTCAGAAGGGGATGAAACACTGTTTGAGCCTGGGGGGTGGGGTGGGGGTAGCAGCAGCACCCATATTCTCCCAGGAGGCCCCAATCTGAGTTGGGTGCTGGGTGCAGGTGGGTTGTGTTGGAAGAGCTCACAGGTACAGATGAATTGGGCTCCTGATCCCCACTGACCTTGGAGAGGGCAAGCAGAGGTGCCAGTCTGGACACAAGCCGCAATTTGAACGTCTAAATTAGAGACAGGCCCTGTGCCAGATCTGCCAACCAATCCATCAACAAGTGTGTGTGGGGTGACCAGGGAGGCGGCCCATCCCTTCCTCCCCCGCCACGGGCAGTTCACCCGCGGTTCTGCGTCTGGGACAAGACCCGGGAGTCTGCCCCCCTGTTCACAATGAGGGGACATGGCTGTGGGGAGTCTCTGGAAGGACCCTTTTCTGCATTCTCAGGGCTAATCAGGCTAAAGACTGGCAGGGGGTTGACATTGGAGGAAGCTTCAGAACCCATTTTCTCTCCTGCGGCCACCCTCTCGGCCAGGCCCCTACGCTGGGATGCTCTCTCAATTTGTGTTGAATAAGCAAACACACAAAATGGGTATTTACAGTCAGCATATGGAACCAAGAGGCTAGGAAAGACAGGCGCTAAGGTGGCTTTCTTTCTGGGGATGTGGCCTCAGGACTCCAGGTCATTGACTAAGGGCTGGCAGTGGCTAAGGGGAGGACAGACACCTGGTGCTGTCTGCCAGAGGGCAGAGCCAAGGCTCAGCGCAGTACCAGGAAGGCCACCCGGCATGACGCCTACACCTGCGTGACAGTGGGTTTCTCGTCCGGGAGGCATGTGAACCAGAGTCCGGTGCCCCAGACAGGGCTGCCTCGGGGATTTTCTACTCTGGGAGGGTAGAGGCCCTGGAAGCCTCGGCCACGTCTGAACAGAGGAATCCGAGTCCGGAGTCTGAACGGCTGGGCCTAGTGGTCCAGCTGCCAGGCAACACGCAGGCAGCAAATCAGCTGCGATGTGTTTGTACCGTGCCCTGGATGCTGTCACGGGCACATGGTGACAGCCACCCCCACAGTGACACACAAAGAGGGGGTGACACACAGCCGGGGAAGCATAAAGGCTTCCTGTGACACCGGCCAGAGAGCCGGGACAGAACATGTGACAGCAGAAAGACAAATGGACATTGGGGCACACACCCTCAGATCTAGATGTACCTGGGACCCCGACATTTGCCCAAGGAAGGCCGCAAGAATCCTCCTAATGCAAGCCCAGGTGCACGGGAACTGAATGCAGGAAGTGCGTGTGGCATGAGATGAGGACAAGGGCTGGCGAGCTTTCTGCAAAGGGCCGATTGTCCGTATTTTAGGCTTCGCTGGCCACACACTGTCGCAGCCACTCAGTTCTGCGGTTGCAGCGTAGAAACAGCCACAGATGATATGGAAACAAATGGGCATTGCTGTGTTTGATGCGCTTATTTATGGACTGAGATTTTGAATTTCATAGCTTTCATGTGTCGTGAGATGGGAGTCTTTTCATTTTTTTTCCTGACCATTTAAAACTGTAAGCATCATGCTTGGCTCACTGGCTGTCCAAAACTGGGTGACGGGCTGGATCTGACCCGCCGGAGGGGCTGCCAAGACCTGGGCTGGAAGGGAGAGGTGGTGTAGGAGGTTGAAGAACGGAGGGGCTGAGTGCTAAGGGCTGGAGCTGCCCTGGGGGGCCTGGGATGCCACCCTCCATCAGCCTGGAGCTCAGAGGGCCCCTCTGTTTCGTGGGTCAGTGCCCGGAGAGGCTCCCCACCTGGCCTGAGCGCCTCACCCCAGACAGGCCTCCGCTTTGTCCATGTGATGAATCTCCCACGCTGAGGACCCCTGGAGACCACATTCGGGACTGAAAACAAATCAGCATCACATCACTGGGCTTCACCAGAGCCTCCTTTCCCATTCACCCCGTGCCCAGGTTTGTGCCCGCCTCCACCAGGAGGGCGACTACAGGGAAACCTGTGTGCCCCCCTGGAAGGGGAGGGTGAGGTGCTGCTCTCCCACTATGGGGGCGCCCAGGAGGCTAAAGAATGCCTGGAAAGACACACTGGAAAGATATTAGAGCTTCTCCCTGGGGACCTGGACCAGCCGCTGGAGAGCCGGGAGTGTCCCATCCCAGGAACTGAGCCCTCTGCAGCTGCAGTGCTGTAGAAAGAGTGCTGCAGGGGTTGGGGCAGTGGGGGTGGCTGGAGGGTCTCTGAGGAAAGTGGGGAACCCGGTGAGTCACCACTGGCCTGGTGTGCTGACTGATGACGCTGTTTTTGCGTGTGTCTGGCAAAGTGGCTCATCTGAGGACTCAGCTGCTCTTTTCAGTTCCCCATCCAGGTCTGTGGCTGTGCTGATGGGGCCTGAGGAGGGCAGGCCTTCCCGAATCTGGATGGGGAAGCGGACTCCCTTCCAGCCCAGATATCTGTCACACATCTGTTCCTGCCAGGCTGGGGCCACGCTCTGCACTGGGTGACTTTGGAGAGTGTCGCCCCCTCTCTAGTCTGTTTCCCCACAGGAAACTCAGTACCACTGGGAGGTGGCTTTTAAAGTCCCTTTGAGGTCTGAAATGCTGTGCTTATAGTTGCAGCTTCCTAAGGAGAGAAGTATGGGCAGGGGACAGCAGAAGGCCTGACCAATCCCCAAGGGCGTGAGAAGGGTCACTCATGGGGTATCAGTGGGTTTTGAGCTGATCTTTCAGCAGTAGCAGAGGCTGGCAGGAGCATAGGGATGGAGTGCACAACCTTTGGAGCCAGGTGGCTTGGGTTCACTTCCCAGCTCTACCACATATTTGCTGTGTGACCTTAGGGAAGTTGCATAGCCTCTCTGTGCCTCAGTGACCCCAGCTATCGTGTGAGTGAGGATAATGCTAGTAACTACTTCACAGGTTTGGCTAGGTGAAATGCGTTAATGCGTATTTATTGCTTGGAAGCGTGCCTGACACATACTGAATGTTTAATAAATGTTAGTCATTAGTAAAGAAAGGTGCAGCTGGCCTGCTATTTCCATTTTGAATGTTACACGGGGCTGTGGGGGGATAGAGGTGTCAGCAAGAGAGTGCAAAACCCTGAACACAAGTGGTAAGAGAATAATAATAGTTAACATATGTGTAGTCCTTACTGGGAGCCAGGCTAATACTGTATAAATTTCTTGGTGTCTCACAGCAGTATCTATGAGGTAGATATTACTATTATTCCCATTTTACAGATAATCAAATTGAAGCGCAGAAGAGCTAAGTGGCTTGTCCCTAAGTCCACCACAGTAAACGTCAGGAGATAGGGTTTCTTGTCCTCACATCAGGTGCTAAATTGCCCCAGCAGAGCCTGGACCCAAGGGCGAGCCTGGGAAGGTCGGTGACCAGGTCATCCTGACCACTTGTGTGGCTGGGTCAAACGGCCCAGGTCCACCCTGAAGGAGGGGAGAGTCCCACCCCAGGCTGCAGTAGCCGGGCCCTGCCCTGTGAGGGGGTCGCTGGCAGCTGGGGAGAGTCAGAGGGAGGCAGCCAGGACAAGGAGGGGCAGCCGCTGGCAGGGCTGTGGCTGGCAGACCCAGGGTTGCATCTACAGGGCAGAAGAGCCATTCGCATGGCCCAGGGGAGTACCAGGTTTGGGGTAGGTGGTCTAATATTGTAAACTCGGAGAGCTGTCCAGCAAGGGTGCTGGGGGCGGGGGGAGGGCGCAGAGGAGGTTGCCGTCTTAGAGAGGCTGCAGGAGATGACCCTTGAGGTCCCCAGTGGAGGTGGGGGAGTGGGAAGGCCAGGGCTTGGGAGCTTCCGGGGTCTGTCTTGCTGGTGTGTCTGCATCCGGTTGGGCAGGGGTGGATGTAGTGGGGGAGGGTGGATACGTAAGGACAATGGTGGGCTAAGGGAATAAGTCATGAATGTTGGCATCACAAGGAGAAAATTGTATAACTAGGTGATGGATGTTTACCAGACTTATGTGGCCATCACTTGCAATATATAGCTATTGAATCATTATGTTGGATGCCTGAAGCTAATATAATGTTCCGTATCAATTACATCTCAATAAAAGAAAGAGAGAGAGGACAATAGTGGGAATCGGGAACCTGGCCAGGCCTAGTTCCACAGGCGGCTCGTGTTGAGCGGATCCCACCCGTCCATCCTGTGTCCCTGGGCTTGGGCCACACCTGCTCCTGGATCACCTCGTGGCCTGAGCAGCCCGGTGACAAAGCACGGCACTGGGGGATAGTGGGTCAGCCCCCTGCAGTGGTGGCCGCGGAGCTGCTCTGCCGGGAGCGGGGTGAGCACCTGCCTGTCCGCCTCCCCGCGTGAACATACGTGTGTGCACGCGCGCAGGCCTGGAGTGCGTATGTCTGTGTGTGTCCCTCCTGCATCAGAATCCAGACAGATCTCATTGCCTCTACCTCGCTGAGTGCCTTTGCGCGGTGAGCGTGTGTAAGTGCGTTATGATATGTGTCACTAGGCTGATAAACATACCGGTGTGACTGCATCTGCACACATCTTTGTTCTCGGTTGGGTGAGCGTGCTTCTGCATTGCTGGGAAGGAGTGTGTGTGTGTGTGTGTGTGGTGGTCTGTCAGCCCCTGAAGGCATCTCCTCCTCTCCTCCTTTGTGTATTCCACACAGGGCTGTTTGTATTTTGTATTGATGCTTTCAAGTGGGTGCCCTGGGGATAAATGTCTTTATGATCTTCTCTGTGGACCTGTGTCTGTGTATGTGTGTGTGTGTGTGTGTGTGTGTGTGTGAGAGAGAGAGAGAGAGAGAGAGAGAGAGAGAGAGAGAGAGAGAGAGAGAATCGGGCATCAGCCAGTCTTCAATACTAACCCCTTGCTTGCCGGCTGCCACCTGCTTGCCTGTAGAGCAACCAGAGCCAAAGAAGCCACTGTCCTTTCAGGGCTAGCAGTCTTGGTGCTGATGGAGGTTAAACAGGTTCGTGGTTCTGCTCTACGTGAGAGTGAGAGTCACCTGGAGAGCTTTAATCAGCCCCGAGGCCCGTCCCGGCCCTAGAGCACCCACTCAGTTGGACAGGGGTATTTTAAACACACCTCAGTGGTTAGGGGGAGCGTGCAGCCCAGGTTGAGCACAGGGCTAATAGGTTAGAGTGCATCTTGGGACCAGAGTCGGCCCCGGCTGCTGGCCTCTGGGCCAGAGGGACTGGCAGAGGTACTGGAGGCCTTGTCTTGGGTGGAGGCCTCCCTGACTTCGCACCTCACCATCCTTTGGCCTACGTGCCTGAGAGTCAGCTCCACATCTCAGCGACCTCTGCCTGTGGTTCTCCTCGGAGCCTCCTGCTGGTGGGGAGAGCCGGCCTCCTGCATCTGCTGAGGGTGGGCCAGGCATTCCCATGGTCCCGCCAGGCGTGTCGGACAGGGCCTGGAGCTCCCCAGGGATAGTGGAGGTGACCAAGCCTCCGGGGACTGCTCGTGCCAGGCCATCCAGAGGCAGCCTGTGACAGCAGGGATGGGAGAGCCCTGTACACAGCTGGCACCCAGAGTGCTGGCCAGGGACTGCCCAGCCCGGGTAGCTTTTCCTGAACCACAGGGCAGAGGCTGGGCCAGCATCCCCATGGCCACTGGGCTTCTCAGAGCATCTCTTGGGGGGTACAGAGGCCGCCTTCAGCATCTCTGAGTGGGCCCTAAGCAAGCAGAGCAGCAGGGGGCTAAGACGGGCCCCTTTCATGGAACCTGCCTGTGGCTCTTTTTCTTTCACTGCTTTGGGTGCTTGTTTGTCCCCCAATTTAGCTTGGAGGGGCTGAGGGCAGCTTGGAGGGGCAGAGAGAGAGGGAGGGAGGCATGATGGGCAGAGAGCCTGGGCACAATGGCCCTAGGGTAACGGCAGCTCTGCCCGCTGGTGGGGGAGTGCAAGGCTAGTGGTCCGAATGTAGTGCCCATGGGCCTCCGGAACCAGGCACCTGTGGGCTAGGGGTGACCCTGACACGGGTCTCCTCAATCACTATGTAATTGAATAGTAATAAACATACGTTTTAAATGACCGAGTCGTATTGCATTGTATGGCTGTGCCGGGCCTGGGAACAGCGCCTGCAGGATGGGATGGAGGCCTTGTGGCCCCTGCTTTGTGTGGGTGCTGTTGTAAATGGTACTGCGGTGAGTAACCTCACCGTGCCAATTTCTGTTCAAGTGCAAAGGTTTCTCCAGGAGAGACTTCCAGGTGCGGGGTTCCTGGGTGGATGGGACTATGTGCTAACGATCAGTTTTCGAGGCGACCAGCCTCATCCCCTGCGACTGTGCGGGCCTCGCCAGCCTCTCCACCGGACTCCCCACACACTGCCGGCCTCAGTCCTGGAGGACCCTGCGCCCCTCAGCGCGGAGGCCCAGCTCCCTCGGCAGCCACTTCGTTGTGCGTGTCGGAGCTGAGGGCTCTGGCCTGGAGGCCCAGCGGGTGGAGGCCAGTGCAGGAGGCTGTGGGGTTAGGGGACCAGCTCGGCAGCTGGAACCAAGCGGCCTTCTGTGAGTGAGCAAGTTAGAGGTGCGCTCCTTTCTCACGTAGCAGCCTGGAGCTGGGGTGGCCCCGCGCCACGAGCTCCCTCAGGCATCCTGGTTCCCCCCGGAGTGTTGCCCCCACCGCTCAGGGGTCATCCTGGCTGCCCTGTCAGAGCGGGTCGGTCCGGCATTGGGAAGAGCGTAGGAGCAGGACAGCGTGTGATGCTGTAAGGACATGTGGCACATGTCACTGCCGCCCCTTCCATAGGTGGGCACACGTGCCCTCACCTGAGCAAGAGGGACAGGCGGGCACATGCGTGACAGCTAAAGCTGTCGTCGTGGAGGGAGATGGGGGAGACAGCCGCCAGCCGCAGAGGAGAAGGCCACCCACACCACCCCAGTGGTCCACTGGGGGCCTGCCCAGTGTGCTCCCACCGTGTCCTCTGTGCCTAGCAGATGTGGGTGCTCAGCAGGTGGTTGTGGGGCAGAGAATGAAGAACAGCATGGACGAAGGCATGAGGGGTTCCCTGTGGAGGCTGAGAGCCTTGCCGCCGGAAGGGGAGGCATGGGGGGGGGGGAGCAGGCTGTCCCGCAGGACTCATGCCTTTCCTCTCTCTCGAACCCTAGGCACCTTGGGGCTGACCAGCGGCTGCTCTAAGTGGGAGGTGAGCGGTGCTGGCCTGAGCCTCCTTGTGACTGAGAAGCACCATGGCCAGCATCGTATGGGCCTCCCTGGCTGTTCTCCTGCTGCTGCCTCTGGTAAGGCCCCAGGTCCATACCCTGTCCTCCCTCCCCCCACCAGCTGGAGCCCCCAGCTCACCTGAGCCCCCACCCCAGAGAACCCTGTCTTTGGCCTGCCCTCAGCTGGTATCTCTGCTGGCACCCCCACTGGACCATCCAGCACTTTTGTGAATTAGAAAGGGTGTCGCATCCTCAAGGCCTTCAACTGACTTGGCCAGAGATCCTTACACAGTTTAGGAATGTGTCGCGATGCTGACGTGGGTAGTCTCAGCGCTGTGCATCCTGCGCCCTGCAGGGCCCCGGCCAGGCTGCAGGAGGCTCTTTGGCCCCAGGCCCCTGCTCACCAGTCTGCCAGGTCAGAGCTCAGGAGCCTGCTCTCTGCTCATGTCTCTCCCAGAGCGAGGGTGGTGGGGAGGGTTCCAGGCCCTGGCCCCCGCCCCGAGAGGGGACTTCACACCAGCAGGGGCTCTTGCTGTCTCCGAGATCTGGATCCGAGCCCTGCCTCTGCCCTGCCTCACCGTGTGGCCACAGACAGCCTGTCCCCGGCCCTGGAAGCCGTCTGCACCTCTGTGAACAGAAGGGGCTAGACCGAGCATGGGAGTCCTGGATGTGCCTGCCTCCATCTCCCGACATCCCCCTACAGAACTGCGCCTGCCCCCGAATTTTGAGTTAGTGGCGACAGCAATGCCAGGGCTTTGAAGTTACTTCTCCTGCGCTTGAATCCAGCACCTGCCACTAACCAGCTGTGGGACCTTGGGCAGGAGTTTTCTTAACTTTTCTGAGCCTCAGTTTCCTCTTCTGTAAAATGGGGCAAGAGTAAATGGGAGTGGTTCATAGGCCCACTGAATGCTGCCACTGCTCCCTCGCCTGCACCTCCTTCCCCAGCCCCCAGAGGAGAGAGACAATGAGCGATCAGCCCCTCCTCTCCCCCAGCCCCTGCTCGCTCCCCTAAAGTGTAGCAGTAGCCTTGTGGCTTCTGGGGCTACACTGTCTGGGGCCGAATCCTGGCTGTATAGTCTACTATGCTGTGTGGCTTTGAGCAAGTTACTTAACATCTCTGGGCTTCAGTTTCACATGTGTAAAATGAAAAATGCCAAAAATACTACCTACCTTGTAGTCCTCTGGATATATATGTATACACATATAGTATATGACAGAACAGTGCAGGAGGTCATAAAGTGCTATATATGTGTTTGCTGCTGTTTTTATAAGACTTGGAAACTGAGGCCCAGGGTCAGGGTAGGATCTACCCAAGGCCACACTTTGAGTTGGTAAAGAAGAACCTCATGGTGTCTGTGACAGAGTGGATGTCAGGGTCCCTGCTGGCCCTGAAGTTTCTGTCATTATCCTCATCCTGCTTCTGCCCCTCCCCGCCAGCCCCAGGGCTTATAGTGAGCCTTGCTGCTCCCTCCCACCATCCCTCCTGTTCCCTGCAGATGGCCGCCATGCACTCCGACTGCATGTTCAAGCAGGAGCAGGTCCTGTGCCTGGAGAAGATCCGGAAGGCCAACGAGCTGATGGGCTTGAACGCCTCCTCCCATGGTGAGTAGGCTGGCGTGGAGGACATGGTATCCCAGCACGTCCATAGCCATTAAAACTGGTGCCCCAGCCTGCGGCCACCTGGGAAGAAAGGTGGAGGGGACGGGTCTGGGTCCTTCAGAGAGCCCTGTGGGGCAGTGGAGTCCTGGATGTGCCCTGGGCAGGACACTGGGTTGCCCTCGTTGGGGACAGCCTGCCCTGGATGCCTCCCTGTGGGAGGGCTGTTCTGAGTGGCTGGGTGTGGCTACCTTAGATCCCAGGGGGGCTAGAGCTGGGTCTGGCTGTCAGAGAGCTCGTTAGCAGGAGGCCTGGGCCTGGCAGCAGCAGGGACACAGCTGCTGCAGGTGCCCGAGCTGGAGAGCAGGAGGTGTGGGGCCCTTTCCCCCTCCTCTCCTCACTCCACCAGAAGCCAGAGACAGGCAGCAGTGGGAACCCACCTCGGCCTGTCTGGGCAGTACTCCTCCCTGAGCTGCTCTTAGCCTGGGGCGGGGTGCTGCCTCCTCTGCGGGAGCGGCCACGCACTGAGGACAGTTAGCAGCCGCACTGAGGACAGTTAGCAGCCGTTGTTTCCCTATCAGATGCCCTGGCTCCCCTGATCCCAGTGACAACCCGGAAAGCCTCGTAGCATTTCCAAATGTTCCAGGCAGTGCCGTGGCCCTGGCTGAGAACCAGGCGTCCTGTGTGGCCCCTTCCTCCTAACTCCCTCGCTGTGCAGAGAGGACACTGAGGCCCACAGGGAAAAGGCACCCTGGACTTCCTGACCCCCAGCAACCAGAGAGAGGGTCTGTGTGGGAAGCCAGGGACTTGGGGGTGGGGGCATTCCTGGAGGCCTGGCCAGCCTCACTTACACCTCCGTCGCTGGAGGGTGGGGCTCTCTGCCCAGATGAGAAGGATCCACCTCTCCCTCTGGATCCTCTCTGCTTATAGGGAGCTCTTCTGAGCACCATCTGCTTAAATACTCGATTAATCTGCAGCCCAGTTATGTGGAACGGTCCCTCCAGGCCAAGCTCCCTGGCCAGACAGTGAACATTAACTGCTAATAGAGCTGCTCCGGCCATGCTGGACTCGTTTGCCCTCCAGCCGAGCTCTGGCTCAGCCCTAACTGAGGCTGGAAGTGGATTCTAGGCCTCACCAGCCAGGGAAACTGAGGCAGGGGCCCCAAACAGGTGCCCAGTTGCAGGAGACCAAAGTGGTATCTGGCCTAAGGCTCTGGTCTAGGAGATGGGAAATGGGGCCATGAGGTGGACCTGGAGCCCAGCTGTCCTGCCTCCTAGCCCCGGGCCGCCGTTCCTGCATCACGGGTGTCAGGGGCATGTGGGGTGGGGCATAAGAAGCATCCAGGAGGAAAGGGTAGAGGTGGGAGGCGGGGCTATTGCACAGATGTTTGTGGAGCCCCAGCTGGGGGAGGACAAGCAGGCTAGCCCACAGGGGCGACGTGAGCGTGAGACAGAGGTGAGGATGGACACCCTCCCAGGAGGGGCAGGCCAGTGCTGGGAGAGGCTGCACCCCAGGTGTGCTCAGGAGAGGAAGAGAGGAATTCTGGGAGGGTTCATGGACAAGATGGTATTTATACTAGGTCCGTGGTTCTCAAACTGGCTGCACATCAGAATCTCCAGGAGCTTTTAGAAGAATGTGCTCACGCTACAGTCCAAACCAGAACCGCAGTCCCTCACAGTCACCGTGACTTCAAAGGCTCCGGGGTGACGCTGGCGAGAAGCTGGTCTGAGAACCCCCTAGTTGGGCCCTAGGGACCAATAGGCCCTTGACGTGAGAGCTGAGGGCGAGTGAGTGGGGAGAACATCCTTGGTGGGGGCACCACGGCAGCAAGAGCTCTGTGCCTCAGAAGCTCCACTACGAAAACGAGCAGGTGGGACGAACCTTATCAATCGCCAATACTTACATAGGTTTTCCATGTGCAGGCACTGTACTAGAGCTTTTCCTCCCACTGCAGCAACCTGGAAGGTAGGCTCTCCTATTACCCCTGTCTTATAGATGAGGACGCGGAGGCCCCTGCACCTCTTAAATCCTTGTCCCTCCCAGGACCTCCGCCCCCCAGAGAACACCAGGTGGTAACGTGCACTGTGGCCTCCAGAGGGAAGCTGAAGGACAGGGTCACGCTGGGGGAGGCACGGGAGCCGAGCAGGCAGGTGAAGGAGGAGGATGCGTCGGCAAGGTGGTGGAGGGCGAAAACAAGCCCTCTGCCCGGCGCTGCTGTCTGCGTCAGCCTCGGCATGTTCTCAAGATGTTTATTGGGACTGTTATTGAAGAGTTGTGTTTAGTGCTTTTGTCCCTCATTCCAAACCTCTGAATGCTAAGTGGGACTCAAGACAACACGGAGTCCAGCTCTGTCATGTGACACGCAGAGAGGCTGAGGCCAGAGGTGGCAGTCCCTGGCCAAGTTACACCGAGGGCCCGAGCCAGCTCGGGGACAGGCCCCAGGTCTGCGGCCCGGGCCAGGGGTGCCCTTTGTGCTGCAGTGCCCTATGCCAGAGAGAAGGAAAAAGGGCCCCTGGGCGTGGGAACCTGACTCTCCACTCCTGAGGGTCCCAGACCCACGCAGGTCACAGGCCCTGCCTGCTGGGCGGTTCTGTTTGCTCTCTGCTCCGCCCAGGCAGCCTGGCTGTCCTGTGTGAGTCCGGCCAGAGCCTCCCCTTTGCAGGGTTGCAGGCTTCCGTCAGCCTGGAGGCCTGGCCTGCATTTCAGCGGGGCCGGTCAGGTGTGGTCCTCGGGGGTCCCCAGACTCTGGAGGAGATGGAAGAGGGACGCCTGCAGCGGCCCTGGCAGGGGCAGAGGAAGGAGACTTGTACAGAAGACGAAAGCCTCTCATTGCTCTTCTGACCCGGCCTCTGAGGCCAGTCCAGGGTGCACAGTGCCTGGTCCCAGCCACTCCCCCCCCCCCCCCCCTGCCCCCACCAGAAGAGGAGAGGCCTGGAGGAGGGAACCACTGCAGGGCTGGGCCCAGGCTCCCATCCTGGGAGCAGAGTCAGCCTCTTGCCTGCACCTCCCAGCTGCTGTGAGACTAAACAGGCACCCAGCATGGGGGAGAAATGGGGTCTGCAGGGACCCCTCGCTCCCCAAATCTGACTCGAGCCTGCGTCAGAATCTTCTGGAACACTTGTTCAAACACAGATGGCTAGGCCTAGCACCAGAGTTTCTGACTCAGTGGGTCTGGAGGGGCCTGGGCATCTGCATTTCTGGCGAGTTCCCAGTGGAGTTCCTGGTCTGGGGTCCACACTTTGAGAGCCGCTGAGCTCGAGGGGAAAAATAACTTTCAGTAAATGGACATCATGCTTTACCCTCGAACTGGATGCTAAAACGGGGGCTTAGTCTACGCATGCATCCTCGGCGGCTTCTCAAAGGGACGGCTGTGCCTTGTCTGAGTCCCTGCGGTGCCTCTGCTCTCGCGGCTTTGAACACACTGTGGAACTGGACAGGATCGTCACCATGACAACCCGAGATGAGCGCCTCATTCTGTTCCAATTGAGGCTAATGGCTCCCGCGTCCTCTCTGTTCAGCCTGCCCGAGTGGTCTTTCCTCCCGCTGTTGTCACGAGGCGCTGCCCCTCCTTGCTGCTTTGTGTGGGTGGCTTAGTGGGAGCAGCCCAGGAGATGGGACCTCTCCCACCACTCAGGCATCTCCCCCCGACCCCCCCACTTCCCGCCTGAATTCCTCTGACCAAGTTCCATAGAGGCTTGAGGGGGAGGGAAAGAGGCAGAGCCAGGAGGGCACAGTGTAGAGTTGGGCTACAGCAGGAGAGGAATAGGGAGGTGGGGTGTCCCCGTGGAGCGTCCTCCAGGGCTCAGAGCAGTTCCAATTCCCCCCCCCCCCACCTGCTCTGCAGGGGTGAGGAGAGTAGGGAACGTTCTCAGCCTCTCAGCAGTGGCTGATGCACTGGACCGTCGCCGCCTGGAAGCACGCGTTCCTGGCTGCTGTCACTAACCTCTCCTGGTTTCCTCCTGCCTCTGGCCTCCCCTCCTCAGTCTTCTCTGCCAGCTGCTCTTCTGCTGTTGGCATGCCTTCTTTTGTTGGGGCCAGGCGCTCTTCTCTCTTCTTCTCAAATCTAGGCCTTCTCATGAGACAGATCAGCCAGGTCCATGGCCCCACCGAGCATCCCTGTGCTGACCACCCCCTCTTCTTCCTCCATTTCCGACTTCCCGCCTGCACTCCAGACCTTCATCTCACTGCCTGTTGGAAACCTTGGCAGATGTGCCTTGGGAGACACTTGTCCTGGCAGCGGGGCCAGAGAGACGCCCCAGCTTCTGGGCATTGGCAGATCTCGAGTGAAATCTCTGTTGCTGATTGGAGCTCTAGCCGCTCAGAGTTGGGAGTACCCTCAGAGACACCCAGCCCTCAGTGCGCACACAGGGAAACTGAGTCAGGGTGGAGGGGTAGAGACTTACCAGAGTCATGCAGTGAGCCCTGGGCTGCAGTGGACAGAACTCCAGTCTCGTGGCCGACGTGCAGAGCTGAGGGACACCTGCCCTTTCCCACTCTCAGTCCTCAAATGCAAACTTCCCAAATGTTTTCTCCACGTCTGTAGCCCTGGCACATGGCAGGAGCTCAGAAAATAGCTAAGAGAATGATCGCCTGCGCTGCCTCCAGGCCTGGGACCCCCACCCTGTGAGCCCCTTCTTCCTTGTGCCATCCTCACCCGAGCCCTGTGCCCCTCACCGCCCCGCCGTCCTTGTGACTGCTCGCCTCCATCTGAAGTGCCCCAGGGCCTCAGGAACGTCAGCTGGCAGTGGCAGCTGGCTGTGCCAGGGCCCGCTGTTCCACGATAAGGGAACATCTGTTAACGGGGCACCTGGGACATGGGCTGGGCGTTCGACGTGACCATACTCCGTCACTGTTCCCGGCCAGCAGGGGCCCTGCAGCCCACACTGAGCTGCTGGGTCCCCTTTCAAGTACCGGATGTCACAACAAGGCGTGTGCAGCTGGAGCCCTGCTGGGGTGGGCAGTGGGCACCATCAATGGCTGGCCTGCTGCTGTGAGGCCTGGGACACGGTTCCTCACATGTGGCCCCCCGTGACCTTGCCATCTTGGTTTGTGGTCCTCAGAGCTTTCTTTCTTTCTTATTTTCTTTTTTTAAAAAAATATGCTTTTATTGATTTTAGAGAGAGAGGAAGGGAGAGGGAGAGAGAGAGAGAAACATCATGTGAGCGTGAAACGTCGATCAGCTGCCTCCTGTATGTTCCCTACCAGGGACTGAGCCAGAAAGCCTGCAACTCGGGCGTGTGCCCTGACTGGGAATCAAACTGGTGACCCTCTGGTGCCTGAGACAATGCCCAACCAACTGAGCCACACCAGCCAGGGCGCTCTGAGCTTTCGATGGTGTTTCCAGCTCCCAGACTTGGTCATTCCAGGAGTAGGATGCTATACGTTACTGTGATGGGGGATGAATTCCAAAATAGCCAGGTGTCAATTCTGAGAGACAGACCACTTCTGGCCCACACAGCACCCAACAGCTCATGAGGCCGGCCCAGGCCCCTCTCTGCCCAGGCTGCCTCTGTGACCTGCCGGCCCTCCGCTGGCCTTCTCCCCTTGCCTTCTCCCCTTGCCTTCTCCCCTTGCAGGCCTCTCTCCAGGGAATGATTCCAGAGACACCTAATTGACGTGAAGTTATTGATGATAACAGTAGGGGGCGTGTGAGGAGTGAGCTTGGCGCTCTGCTGGGTAATGAGTGTGAACTCATTACTCTTCCCAGCAGCCCCGGGGGTGGGAAGTGGGGGGTGGTGAGGGTGAAAGGTGGGGGGGTGAGGGGTGGGGGGGTGGGGGGGTGGGGGTGAGAGGTGGGGGAGGTGGGGGGTGGGAGGTCAGTTCCACTGGCTGTACCTTACCTGGCAGAGAGGCCCTCTCTGCACCAGTGTGTATGGACCCCTTTGCAGCATGCGGACCCTCTCCCGACTCTCCATGCTCTGCTGTCACTTCCCTCCTCCTCCTCCTCCTCCTCCTCCTCCTCCTCCTCCTCCGTCTCTCTGTCCTGATCGGTCATGGTCATTATGGGCACTTCCTCTGCCCGCCCCCCTGCCAAGTAAACAAAGTCCACAGGGTGCCCTCCTCCCCTCCTCCCCGTCCTTTCCTGGTGGACTGCCATCCCATCGCCTCCCCCACACCCATGATGCTGGGCCTAGGGGCCGTCCAGGGAGCTGAGGGAACCAGCCCACGGAGGTGCCTGCTGCCAGGGCCTGGCTCACATGCTCTCTTCCCCACAGGCTGCCCTGGGATGTGGGACAACATCACGTGCTGGAAGCCCGCGCGCGTGGGCGAGATCGTCCTGGTCAGCTGCCCCAAGTTCTTCCAGATCTTCGATCCAGACCAAGGTGGGTTTCGCCCGCGCCTCTTCAGGCCACACTCAGCCCCGCCCGCTCCCCGCAGGGGCCCCAGACCTCCCTGGGACACGAGCACCTAGGACACGGCTGCCCTACAGGCTGATAGCTGTTCCCAGGGACGCGGGGATGGGACCACACGCCACCCCTACACAGGGACACACAGGCTTCCCTTGGGCGTGGCTGCCCGGTCCACGTGGGGGGTGTGACATCACGGGTGGGGCACAGCTGGGCTTTCACACACGGCCTCCATCACTCACCCCTGCTGCAGGCCTTGGGCAAGGCCCTCACCCCTCTGTTCCCTAGTCTGTCAAATAGGAATGTGTTGGGTCACTGGGGACTCCAGTGATACACGGGGGGAGTCACTTAGTGCAGGGCTGGGCACGTTTTAATACTCAGTGGTAATTGTTAACGGATGTTATTGCCATCACCACTCATCTGGAGACCCTGAGGGGCCCAGGGAGACACACACAGACACACAGGGAGACACCCTCAGGCAGTGGACACAGGACGCCCCCCCACGTCCACACTTGCCGGCATCCACACTCGCACACCACTCAGATCCAGGCACAGGGCCGGCCTCACCGTCAGGCAGGCGCACTCGTGCGCATTAAGCAGAGTGTGTTCTTGGTCCTCCCTGACCTTGGGCAGCGATGCGGGCTCAGGAGAGGAGGAGCTGGGGTCCTGTCCCCCAGGAGCCCCTGGGCTGCCTGGGAGAGGACGCTGGGCACACGGGAGTTGTGTGACATGCAGAGGCCGGCTTGGGTGACCGGTGTCTGATGGCTGCCTCCTTGTGAGGAGAGGCTGGGTGGGTGCAGTGTCATAAGGAGCTCAGCCTGGGGCGTGTCTGTTGAGGTGTGTGTGGGGGGGCTACTTCAGTGCCCTGGAGTTACTCAGGGGGCCCAGCCGATGTGGGAGACCTTGGGGTGGGCAGTGATGGGCTTTGTGACTCAGGATATAGGGAGGCGGGGCGGGGAGAAGGCAGCGGGCTATCTGCAGGCCCCAGGCTGTGGTGACCACATCTCTGTGGGGAGCGGTCTGAGATGGCATCTCTCCTTTGGGTGTGAGATTGTTTCCGCCTTCCCTTGAGGCCTTGTGGGCTCCCAAAGAAGGTTGGTGTCTGGCCAGATCACTGTGACCCGGAGAAGAGCCTAGAGCCAGGCCCTGACCCTCCACCGCACCCCTGTGGGTGTCAGGGGTGAGCTGAGAGCACTGTTGGGGGCGGGGCTCCAGGCAGGTGGTTTACTGAGAACGATGCGGGCCGGTGCTGACCACTGAGCCCTGGGCAGGGGCCTCGTGGGTAAGAGGGTCTGAGTCACGGGTGTGGTCATGCACAGGTCACTTGCGGCCTGGGCCTCGCTTCCTCCTTCACCTGAGACTTCGGTCGAGGTCCTAGAAGTAGGGAGTTCCCAGACCCCAGGCCACTTATAGAGTCCTGCCGGCCCGGCCCCTGTCCTGCCTGAGATAGAAGCAAATTCTGATTTCCCTGGAATCCTGCTAACCTTGACTCTGCCTGGATGGCAGGTGCCTGCAGGAGACTGTGGCAGCATGTTGGGGTGCCAGGCCTGTGCCTCAGGGTTCCATCCTACGACCAGAGAAGGCAGGATGTAGCTGCAGTGCCCCCCACCTTGCCTCTCCCTTCCCCCGCTTCCCCTTCTGGGGCCTGTTAGCCACACCCCCTACCTTCAGACCTCCTGCCAGCCCAGAAAGAGGGTGGCATGGCAGACAAACTCTCCCATCCTGACACCTCGGGCCTGGGCGTGACCACGTGCTGTCTAGAACGGGACAGGAGGTGAACTTTGGAAGCTGAGACGGAGGAGGGAAGTGAGTGCAGTGTGAGTGGTGGGACGTCAGGCATGTGGCAGCCCGGTGATGCAGCCCAATCTCTAATCCCTTCCTATAGAAGCCAGGTTAATCCCACCCTCCGTTCATGGACTCCTGTCATCCGTTCATCTACTTAAAGTTTACTGAACATCTCCTCTGGGTCAGGCACCATGGCAAGACTGCTTCTTGCCAACAGTGAAAATAAGGCAAAAGGAATCAGCAACAAAATAAGATCTTCTTGAGATAAACTTTCCTTCAGACGCCAGCCCTCCCCCCTGGCAGTGGCACCATGAGTGTGTTATTTACACCTGACTCATAACAGCTCATTAAGGCAGGCCCTTTAGCATCTCCATTCGCACAGCGGAATTAGTGAGACTTGCTACAAGCACTTGGAAAGTTGCAAACTGCATTTCTCTTAGCTCTGGGTTCCCAGGGCTGCCCCTGGCGTTCTCATCGGGGTGGTTGCTGCTTTGCAGGCCGTGGAGCGACAGGAGAACGCTCTGTTCTCAGGCGCCTCTGCTCATTTCTCTAACTGTGTCCAGTTCCCGAGGGAGAGGTAGATGTCTCCAGTGTCTGGCCGGCCCCAGCTTGTAGTCCTCATGGCTCTGGGCCCCAGCAGACCCTCGCTCCAGCGTTTGGGGGTGAGGTGGGGAAGAGGAGGGGGAGGGATTGGGGCCAGTGAGAGCAGACCCCACTTCAGCCCTTGCTCACCTCTGTGTTCTCTCCCTTTCTCTGTTTCAGTCTGGGAGACAGAAACCATCGGTAAGAGGAACCCCGGAGAGGACAGACTGCTGCTCATCTGTCCATCTGTCCACCCAGCTTGATAATCTATCCATCTGTCCATCCAGCTGGAGCCCAGCTCTGACTGCTGGGAACGGGTGGGGGTGGAATGAGAGGCTTATCAGGGACCAGGTTCTCCCCTCCCCACTTCTTTCCCCCTTGGCCATCCTCGAGGTGGGTTGGGGGCGGGGGTGGGGGGGTGGGGGGTGGGGGGGTGGGGGGGTGGGGGAGACACAGGAAGATAGAAGATGCAGCCCTTGGCCTCAGGGTGCTCATGGGCTTGTTTGGGAGGACGAGACTCACTCATGGAGGGGTTAACAATCCCACCACACGCATATGTGCAGCCCTGAATGTATGCGCGAGCCCACACAGATACTGACATCCCCAGTGGCTGCAGAGTTGGAATGTACAGCAAGCTCCAGAACAAAAGAGACCTAAGGATGCCGCATGCGGGCAGAACAATGTAAAAGTGCAGGGAGACTTCCTGGAGGAGGTGGCATGTCAGCTGGACCTTGGGAAAGGATTTAGAGAAGTAGAGGGGAAATGGAGACTCATTGCTAGTAGGGGCGTCAGCATGGGTGGAGGTGGGAAGAAAGAGTCAGGAGAGGAAGAGAAAAAGGTCTGAGGATAAAGTCTTTGAAGTTCTGGGTTCCCTTTGATGAGAGCGGTTTAGAGGGGTGAGCGCCAAAGAGGAGGGAGACCAAGCCCAGGACTTGTGTGGTTGTTCCTTGCCTTGTCCTTGAAAAGGCCCAACCATCCCTTTTCCTTCCTCTCCCACTCTGGGGGAGGCCCTCTCACCATCCTGACAATGTCCCATTTCCACTTCCTGTGGTCCAGGGAGGAGAACTGAGTCATCAGCATCATTAGAGCTTAGAAATACAAAGCCAATGGATTGCTGATGGGATGTGCAGTGTGTCAGGAAGGTGTGGGTGCAGTGCTGGGCTGCCTCCTGGCTGAGACCCCACCCCTCGTTCTCCAGACCAGGGGAGCTTGGCCTTCCCGCGTGGGAGGCCTGCAGTGGGCAGCCCTGGCAAGCTGATGGCCGGGTGTTCTGATTCAGGCCCATGTCTCTGTTTTTGCAGGAGAGCTTGGTTTTGAAGACATTAAGTCCTTGGATCTCTCAGGTACGTTGGGAGGTGGGGCTAGAGGAGGGGCATCTGCTGACCTGTGAGCAGGGGGACCCCTCTAGCAGGCCTGGCTCTGCCTCTCTGTGGCTGTGTGGCCTCTGGCAGTTCCTTTTCCTTCTCTGATAAGCTGTGGGTCTTCTCCGTGGAAATTTGTCCTCAAGTGCCCAGACAGAACGCCATGCCTACAATGTTAGGGGAACACAGATCTCTCGAAGCCCCATCGTGGACTCCAAATAAAAACCTTCTGGATTAGGTGGCCCCTGACAGCTGGGAACTCCCCTGTGTAGAATGGTGGTTCTCACACTTTCATGGTGGCCGCGACCCCCCAGGGGGCTGGTGGAAACCCAGATTCCTGGCCCCCGCCCAGAGTCACTCATCCCGTGGGCCTGGGTGGGGCCTGAGAAGGTGCACGTCCAGGCAGTCTCCCAGGTGATGCTGATGGGCTGGTCTGGGGAGGTGCCCACTTGGAGAAGCCAGGCCCTGAGGTCCTGTGCTCCGAGGAATCGCTGGGGGGAGAGAGCCGGGTGCAGTCACCGGGGCCGTCACTGCGGTGCTGACCGTGTGGAGGGCAGTACAACAGTGGAGTGGCCAGTTCATGGCAGACTTCGGAACAGAGGCTTATGCTGTCCTGGGCCCACACTGTGTTATTAAAAGGAAACGTAAAGAAGGAGAATAAGAGGAAGGAAAGAGCGTATACCTCCAGGACACTTTTTAAAAAATTGTTATTTTGAAGCAACTTCCCTTTCTTCTTCCCACCACCCTGACGTGGGCAAAGTGGAGAGGCGATGAGGCCCAGGCAGGGGAGGAATGTGGCCAAGGCCACGGTCCCATGGACACCCGGACTCTCTGAAGAGGTGGTCACGGGGGTTTGGGAGGAGCCTGCCAGTAGCAGCTGAGCTGGGTTTGCTGGAGCAGGAGCAGTTGTCCTGGAGTTGTGAGCGGAAGTGATTCTCTCCCTGGGCCTGCGGACGCCTTGCTGCCCTGGGTCACAGGACTCAGAATCCCAGGCACGTGGAGGCCAGTCTTCCCGCTGGGCCAGTCCCCTCTCCCCTTGTTAAGAGAGCAGCTTGCACCTCCCCCGACCCCCATGCCCTTTGTAAAGGCCCAGCCTGAGGTTATCAACAGTCACTATTTCCCCGCAGACAGTGGAGGATTTCAGGAACCTGAGTGGCCATGCTCCCCAGGAACCCCAAGTATGGAGTGACTTTCGAATAAGAATTTCAGGGCCTCTTAGATCATCTCTGTGCCTGTGTTCTCCTTCCGCCGCAGGCATGAGGGTGGTGAGCCGGAACTGCACGAAGGACGGCTGGTCGGAGACCTTCCCTCACTATTTAGATGCTTGTGGGTTTGATGAATATAATGAATCTGAGTCTGGGGACCAGGTGAGTGTGTGCCCCCCGGCGCCCAGAGGCAGTGGGGGTGGGGTTGAGGAGGCGGGTGGAAGGGTGTTCCCAGCAGCGGCTGTGACTCCTGGTGGGACGATAGGCATCTCAGGTCCCCAGGCAGCATGTGTGAGCACCCACCATGTCCGGATGCTCGGACGGTAGGACTCTCATTCACGCATTCTGGACCGAGAAGCAGCCGGTTTGCTGCCTGAGCTCCTGCAGCGCTCAGCATGTGCCCCCACCTCCCCGGCTACTCCTCTGGGACACCCAGCCTTCCTGTGGCCCAGCAGCAGGAGGGTCATTGCTGGGCCCGGCAGGGGGCCTCCTGGACCCTTGTCCAGGCTAAGGGGTGACTGGATTGCTCAGAGCTCCTGTGCTCAACAAGCATTTATGGAGCATCTGATGAGAGCAGACACACTACAGAGGGGAGGAAGCCACTCAGTGGGGGATGGGGGCTTGGGGAGGTCTCAGAGGTAGAGGCACTGAGCGGGGAGGAGGTGAGATCAGCAAGAGGAGGGAGGAAGGAGGGGCTGGGCGGCGGGCCCAAAGGGGGGAGACTGGGAGACGGGGCTGGGGCCGGCAGACCCTACATGGAGCCCCACCCTCCTGTGCCCTGCCCCAGAATTACTACTACATGTCGGTGAAGGCCCTGTACACAGTTGGCTACAGCACGTCCCTCGTCTCCCTCACCACTGCCATGGTCATCTTGTGTCGCTTCCGGTAAGATCTCCAGCACTGATCCAGTGAGCGTGCCCACTCCAGCTCAGAGTCCTCGCCACGCCCCCTGGACGTCAGCCCTGGAGCTGGTGGGCAGGGCTTCCCCCACTCCCAGCATAAGGGATGGGAAACCTGACCCCAGAGAGGGCAGCTGGCCTGTCCAGGGAGGAGGCCTACTTGCCTCGCTTGTGCCTTCCTGGCCTACACAGAAGGTCACGGGCTGGGTGATGGGGGCCTGCAACTTAGAAAGCAGGAGGGTAGGGGTGGTCAGGGCAGGGGCCCATAGCAGCCCTGAGTGCGCCGCCGCCGTGCTGTGGGTCACCCACCTCAAGGCCTCTCCCTCGCTGGCCAGGAAGCTGCATTGCACCCGCAACTTCATCCACATGAACCTGTTCGCGTCCTTCATGCTGAGGGCCATCTCTGTCTTCATCAAGGACTGGATCCTGTATGAGGAGCAGGACAACAACCACTGCTTCATCTCCACCGTGAGTGCCCGGCCAGGGACATCCGGGACGTCCGAGGTCCAGGGCTTTCCCGCAGGTTAACACAGTCCCAGCGAACAGGGAAACCCAGGAGAGATCACCAGGCCACCGGTAGCCAGGGACTCCCCTGCCTGAGGCCATGGCCTGGCCCTCGGCACCTGCGTGCATCCCCTGCCTGAGGCCATGGCCTGGCCCTCGGCACCTGCGTGCACTCGGCAGAGCAGTTGGAGGTCAGGTGGAAAGGCCGGGTCCCACTTGGCTAGGATGCACACAGGCTCACCGAGGGCTCGACTGGGCTGGTTACCGACTGCCCATGACGGAGCCCAAGGCCTGTGGGCTGGCATCTTCCTAGACCACCTCCCCAGACCTCAGACCTCAGGTCAGCAGAGAAGATGGGTTTGGATGGGGCAGGAGGGCAAAATCTGCCGAGAGCACAGGGCCTTGGCCTGGAGGCACACTTAGAGCCTGCGTTCTCTGTGAGATTTCTGGGGTGCCCGGGGTACCTCCTCTACCCCTGTGATGTCTAAAGCCCTCATTTGACGAAGGGGCCTCACATGGGGACCTGCCTACTCACCTAGCCTGTGGGACCTGGGAAGGGGCAGGAACATGGGGAGAATGAGCCTGGGGAGGGGGCTCAATGCTCACCCCCACCCCGTCCTTTGCTGACACGGGCAGTGTTGTCTCCGTGGGTAGCTTCGACTCTGAATCATGGGCAACTTTAAACTTTTCGCAGCCAGGAATATTGAGTGTTTCCGACCCATGGGGTGTGAACCTGAGCAGGCCAGAGCTGAAGGGCCCTCGGAATTCTCCCCGCTCCCGGAGCTGGTTCTCAGGGCTCGGCGGGGCAGGGGATGGGGGCTCATGTCGCCCTCCCTCTCTGGCCCCCTCGGCAGGTGGAGTGCAAGGCCATAATGGTTTTCTTCCACTACTGCGTCGTGTCCAACTACTTCTGGCTGTTCATCGAGGGCCTGTACCTCTTCACCCTGCTGGTGGAGACCTTCTTCCCCGAGAGGAGATACTTCTACTGGTACACCATGGTTGGCTGGGGTAGGTCTGGCTGTGGCCTCGGGGCCAGGCATGTCCTCAGGGCCCCGTGGGGGAGCGTCAGACCAGAGGAGGAACTTCCCTGTCCCCTCCCCCCTTGCCCCAATGCCACACACCTGCTGCTTGCACTCTTTCCTCTCTTCCTGCCCCCAGAAAGCCCACCTCTGAGAGGACATACTCTGTAAGGCGAGCCAGCCCATGGTCTGGGGGAGACATGGACCTCTTGATATAAGGGACAGTTAGGGTCCCCAAACTCCAGGTCTGAGAGGGAGCCATGCCTGTGGGTCAGAACCCCATGTCTGAGTGGGGATGATAGCCACAGGGAGCCCCAAGTCTGAGGGGGACATGGCCTGTTGGCGTTCCTGTTACCAGGGGCTCCTTTGTTGCTCCTGCAGGGTCCCCAACCATCTGTGTGTCGGTGTGGGCTGCGCTGAGGCTCTACTTTGACAACACAGGGTGAGTGCGTGCCCGAGCGCCGGGCTGGTTTTCTGTGTGGTTTCTCCATGGGGGACCCTGCTTTACCGGCCCCAGACAGACGATACCAGGCTGGGCACCCACTGCGCCCTGAGCCGCCCACAGGTGGGTCCACCCAGCCATACCTCAGCCAGAAGGCAGTGGGAAGGAGCATGGCTCAGAGCCCCGCTCTGCACCCGGGCCGGAGCGGAGCATCCGCTTCCTTTCAGGGATGGGAGGACGAGTGCAGGGGAAACTCACCCCCCAAGAGTCCTAGGTGTGAAGGGGAAGGCGGCCCTTGCCCAGGAGCCCTGTGGTGACCCTGACTCTTGGGCTGCAATCCCTGCTGAGGGAAGGCCCGCGGCACCTGAGACCTCTCCTTCCAGCCGCCCCTCCTCAGGGAGCTGCAGGGGAAGCACCAGCCAGGGCCAGAGACATGGTCCTGCAGGGGCCCTGTCCCTGAGCATAACCTCGCTTCTCTCTCTCTGTCTCTCAGCTGCTGGGATATGAATGACAGCACTCCTCTCTGGTGGGTGATCAAAGGCCCCGTGGTTGGTTCCATAATGGTGAGTGCCCTTGGGACAAGGAACAGGGAAGAGGTGGTGGCGGCTTGGGCATAAAGGCACGACGGGAGAGGAAACCTAAACCAGCCTCCTCCTTCTCATGGCTGCATTGTATTCTGCAGCATGGATGTGCACATGCTGTAGCTATCCTGAGCGCGTTGGCCATTTATATGCTCCCATTTTTCCTCATCGCAAAAGATACCACTAGAGCGGGTTCTGTGCATAATTGTGGACAGTCTTTTGGGGCAGAGGGTAATGGTTGCTCGATGCTTTAATATGCATTTTTCCATGTTGCTAGTGCCTCAGGGCATTTCCCAGATATTTGTTGACAATTTGTTTTTATTCTGGTTATTACCTTTTTATTTATTTTTTTATGCTTATTTTTCTAGCCCCGTTGTTGTCTGTCTTATTGTTTGAAGGATAGTAACACTACATTCGGTACACGTGTTGTAAGTGTTTCCAAGACGGCATAACTCTTATGCAGTCAAACCCTCAGGCTTCCTCTTTCCACATTCCGACCTTGTTTCTTGCTTAAGGAGGACTTTCCTGACCTATGACAGAAAGATATGCTGCTTAATTGTTTTGTCACATTTTTGTCGATTGGGTTATTACATGCTTTAGTCCGGCTGAAATTTTATTTCCTTGATCTGAAATGATACCTAATTTTATCTAATTTTATTTTTTTCCCCCTAGTGGATAGATGTTCCAGTCTCTCAATTATTTATATTGAATAGATTATCCTTTCTCCATTATGTTGAAATGCCATTGTATCTTAAACACTCACTGTATTTTATTTGGTTCCAGATTTTCAGTTTGATGTTACTAATCTACTAGCTTCTTCCATGGTCAGTACCCCACTGGGCTAGTTACTATGACACTGTAGCATGGTTTCATATCTGGTATGCTAATTTTCCCTTCTTTATTCTTTTTTTCTTTAAAAATCTTCTTGTAGATTTTCTTTTTCAAGTGATTTCAAATCTTTTGGCAAGTTGCAAGAAAATAGTCTAATTGCAATTTTTATAGGAATTAAACTGAATTTATAAACGAATTTGGAAGATACCGTCCCACCTTTCCCCCAGTTATCCACTGTTTTGCTTTCTAAGTTTTTAGCTCCCTACAGTCAACCGTGGTATGGAAACAATTTAAAAATATATATATATTTTTATTGATTTCAGAGAGGAAGGGAGAGGGAGAGAGAGATAGAAATATCAGTAATGAGAGAGAATCAGTGATCAGCTGCCTCCGGCCTGTCGCACATTGGGGATCGAGCCTGCAACCCAGGCATGTGCTCTGACTGGGAATCAAACTGTGACCTCCTGAATCATAGGTTGACACTCAACCATTGAGCAACACTGGCCAGACTGGAAAAAAAATTCTAAAAGAAAAATTCCAGAAATACACAATTCATAAATTTTAAATTGGACGCTGTTATGAGTAGCATGAAGAAATCTCGCGCTGGGTCACGCTGTCCTACCCCATCATGGACCGTCTCTTTGTCCAGTGTATCCTCACTGTATAGGCTACACACCTGTTAGTCAAAGCAGCCATCTTGGCCAGTGATCAGACTGATTATCATATTTTGAGGGAGAAAAAGACCACATTCACATTTACTACAGTATATTGTTGCAATTGGTCTATTTTATTATTAGGTATGGCTAATCTCTTACTATGCCTAATTTATAAATTAAACTTTATCACAGATACGTTTGTATAGGAAAAAACATGGATATGTAGGGTTTGGTATTCTCCACGGTCTTAAGCATCCGCTCAGGGTGAGGAAGGAGGGATGACTGTAACTGATATAAAGACTTAAAATATTGAGTCTTTCTCTCTAAGAACATGCATGAATCTCCATTTATTCAGTCTTTCTCATAGAAACGTTTTGTACAGTTTTTTTTCAGTTGTCTTTGTAATTTACCTACAAGATAAATCCAGCCAGTCTGGATTTATTCTTTCATTACATGTTTTAGTAGATTACTATTGATGGATAGGGAAGCTTTTAGTCTTGTTGTTTTTCTGATTACTTTTTCCCCCTTTGAATGGATTTATGCAGTTAGCAGTGTTTACTGAGCTAAATTCCAGGTACCAATGAGAGCGGTAGAGTACCTGATGAGCAGCACCCTGCCCTCACATGGCATGCTGTATAATCCCAACAGCTCTGTGAAAACAAACAAACAAGACCTAAAATGGAAATGTATTTTTATTGACCCGGCCTACCTTTTTTTCCTATTTTTTTTTTTTAATAATGAATTTTGGTCTTTCTTAATTTTCTTGTATACGTTATATTTGTGGTACTCTTTCCCTAGCCTTCGATTTGAATGCTTAGTTATTTTATCTTCAGCATTTATCATTTTTTACTAAGTGTTGGGCTATCATTTTCCTCGGAGCGCTGCTTTGGCTGCATCAGATGTTGCTTTGCACTCCTTTTGCGGTGCCTCGTTGCTATTTATTTGCTCGTCTCCCTCCTTCCTCACCATACACACTGCTCCCCACTTTGATTAGAGAGCTGTTGCCCTGATCTGTACCTGCAGGTAAATGCTGCTGTCACCACTCCCAGGCCTTGGATGGATAAGGGGTGTGGTCGTCCATTCTGGCCCCCATATTCAGTGACTGTGACCTTGGCGTTCCCAGCGGCCAGCTCTCACCTCTGCAGCAGCCTCTTCTCTTTCTGTCTGGCGTCGGAATGATTCCATCACCTCGACCCTGTCTGCTCTCTCTCTCTGCCAGAAATTACTCACTTTCCTGGATCACTAATGATATATTTCCCATTTCTCGGTACTCCTGTGGAATTCTTCTGTGTCTGTCTCTTCTGTCATTTCAACCGAATGAACGCCGTTCCGAATTCTGGGTCTAGCTGGGATCTCGGCTGGATGGGGCTGGGGGGCCCTGTTGGAGGGATAGTGGCGTATGCAGAGGCAGGGGTGTGGACAGGCTCTGCCCAGCATCATTTCCATCGGCTTTTCCTTTGCTCCTCAGGTGAACTTCGGGCTCTTCGTGGGCATCATCTTCATCCTCGTGCAGAAACTTCAGTCTCCGGACATGGGAGGCAACGAGTCCAGCATCTACTTGTAAGTACCACCATGTGAACGCCATCGTCCCCTCCGCCAGCTGAGGGGGCCCTGACGCAGGCCACCGGAGGACAGGCCTGGGTTTGGGGGACAGGGTAGCCTAGCGTGGGCTTTTGCAAGATTCCTTTCTGATTAAAGTGCCTTTGGAATCTAGTTGCCCATCTCTCCTCAGCCAAGCTAGCAGCTCCTAATCCACATGGCGATGACATGGAAGGGAAAGGAGATTGGAGGAGACTGGCCGATGACATGTCACCCTAGGAAATCAAGACGGAAATTGCCAGGTTCCCGAGGGTAGTTAGGGTCTTGGTTGCTCAGAAGTCAGATTTCCTTTGGGGATCTCGGTTCTCTGGGAAGCTCATGAGCGCCATTGGCTGCCTGCTGGCCCCATCCCAGCCCTTGTGTGCAAGTTGCTTCAGCCCCACCAGCAGGTCACGTGGACGGTCTCGCTGCTGGGTAATGGAAGGAGGGAGTCTTTTTCTTCTCCTCCCCTCAGAGAGGAGCTGTACTTTGGGGTCTGGTCCTCCCCCTGGAACTCCCTCTTCCCTGAGCAAAGGAGCATCTGATACATTTTGGACTGATGGGGTTCACAGGCCGCCTCTTAGCATTGAGTGTAGGGTTTTCTTCATTCACCTCCACTGCCTTGTGACTTGTTCCTACAAATGTTCCTGCAGTCATGTCCCCAGCAGCGTATCCCTGCTTGCTGTGGCCCACCCTGTCCCACCCCGTCCCAGCCTGTCCCAGCCCTCGACCCACCCTGAGTCAGACTGAGTACCTTCTACCTGACTCTTCTTGCCTCGTGATCAGAAGCATGACCATGACCAGCTAGGTGTGTGGGGAGTGGAGACACTTCTGATGCTGGGGCGAAGGCCAGTCCCCTGTGGGTGGCCGGAGGGGCCAGATGGGCACAGAGAATCTGGGGGCAGTCTCTGGGGTCTGTCCGTGGGCGGGGGATGAGCCACAGGTGTTGCTTCCTTGGCTTTTTAAGAGGAGAGCAGGTTAGAAGGAGCTGAGGTATTCTCATTGCATGTGTGGGGGGCTTTGTCCTGCCTTCATCAGAGACCCCAGAATTTTAATAGCTGCCCAATGAACAAATGGGGCAGCAGGCAGACCCCAGCAGAGGGCTCCCCGACCCAACCATTCTCCTGAAGAGAAAGAGAGAGAGAAGGAGAGAGAGAGAGAGAGAGAGAGAGAGAGAGAGAGAGAGAGAGAGAGAGAGGAGGGGGCAGAGACTGCTCAGAGAGCCATCCTAGGTCCTTCCCTCAGACTCCTCGGGGCTTCCCTTGTCTGTCTGTGCAGCCCAGGCACCACCCCTTGTGGAGCCCTTCCCCTGGGGTGGGGACCAGCGCAGGGCCTGGCGGGGGGAGCTTTGTTTCGTCTGCATAGAGGACGATTCCATTACGTTGGGAAGGAACCCCCTCCTGTTTTGTTATTCATTTACTGTTTTTTCCTTTTTTTCATACTTTTGCAAGTTCCTACCAACCTCTGCTTGTACGTGTATGTCATGCAGTAAAAAAATTATTCACCCATCATGTCATTCAGTCTCCCAGGCCTGTCCTCTGCAACGAACTAAGTTGCAGAATGGTCCTATTGAGGCCATTCCTGCCTGTCCCCAGGTCTGGCCAGCGGGGCCCTGCTGCTCTCCTCCCCCTTCCCTGTCTGGTGGTGTCAGGATCTGTGTCCTTGTGTCTGGTCCCAGTTTCCTGCTTGAGGGTGGATTGGCTCCCACCGAACTAATCTCAGATCCCTGACGCCAGTGTGTAGCCGAGTCAGCCTCATCGCTCCTTTGGGCTCTGGCAGCTTCGGCCGCCCGGCCCCGGGTCCTGGTAGAATCCGTCTCTTCTTCTGAGGTCCCGGGACCCCTTCTCTGGGCTTCTCCCCGCGCCCCCTCACTCTGCCTGTGCAGAGACACACAGGCCCAGCCACAGCCTGAATAAGAACACGTCCATGTCGCTGTGTCTCGGGGAACAGGGGCCCGAGGAGAGGGAGAGAGACTGGGGAACGGGCAGTCGCTGGAGCAGTCAGAACACTCGACATCTGTCGATTGTTTGTCTTCTGAGGGCCTGGCCTGTGGGCTCCGAAACACCTACCATGGTCACATCAAAGGTCACTGACCACAGGTCACCACAACCAATGCAATGATAACGACAAAGTTGAAATATTGCAGGAATTAACAAAATGTGACGGACACGGAGTGAGCAAATGGTACCAATAGACTTGCTCAACTGAAATCAATAAAAATATATTAAACAAACAAACAAACAAGCAAACAAAAAACCTTTTAATCTGTAAAAAAAAAAACACACCGTCTGTGAAGTGTACATGTGAGCATATATGTTTAAAGAACCCGCTAAGGGCTTGCTTCTCTCGTGTAAAAAGTCTCCAAGTCCTTTTTATAGAGAAAGCGAAGCATGGGTTCATCTTCAGCCCTAAAGGTTAAACCCTTGGATGGGTGTGGTCTGCACACGGGGGGCGGGGGTGTGTGTGGAGGGTGTTTGGGGGGGGAGGTAAGACCCACGCAGGACAAGGGTCAGCTTGATCCTATTCAATTCAGCGAGGGTCTGAGTCAAGGAGGCCCTGCTGCGGGAGTGAGGGGTCATGAAGGGGACGGCGCCTCAGAGGGTCTGGCGAGATGGGCGCAGAAATGTCTGCATGCGCATGTAACCCCTGCGTCGCAGCCGAGGGAGCTGCTTATCGGTGGAGGGCAGGGAGTCCAGTGGGAAAGCGTGAAGGCATAGCTGCGCTGCAGGCAGGCAGGCCCTGCACCCCAGGCTCCACTGTACCCCATTCCCGGCCTCAGGGGCGTCCCAGGCAGAGGAGGGTGGTAAGCAAGTATATAAACAAGGCTTCCTGGAAGAAGAGGCCCCGGGGTTCCAGCCTTGTGTGAAACTGCCCACCGGAGGGCATTGAGCTGCAAGGGGTCTGCTGTGGACAGGGAGACAGTGGGGGATTGGAAGGAGCAGGGCCCGTGGGAGAGGGTTTGAGGGTGGTGCCCCTGTCCCCTTGGGCCACCAAGTATGTGTTGGGCTGAGAAGCCCTTCAGACCTACCTACAGCTTTTTGGTTTTTTCCTCTGTTTCCAGAACAAATATAAGCCTGGGAGTCCCCAAGAAAGCCCGAGAGGACCCCCTGCCTGTGCCCTCAGACCAGCATTCACCCCCTTTCCTGTAGGTTGGTGCCAGCGGCTCAGCTGATAAGGGTGTGTCCTCCGTAGACCAAGACGGCGCTCTCGGCCCAGCCTCTCACGGACCTGGGGGCCGGGGGGGGGCACTGAGCCCCCCACACTCTCTCCCTGGTGCTCCTCATACAGTGAGCATCCGGGGTCAGGACTTGGGCGTGGAGTGCGGGCCTGGGTCAGGGCTCGCCCTGGTCTTGGGCAGGGGTAGGGCTCAGCCTGCCCGGGGTCAGGGTTAGCCTGCCTTTCCCTGGGACTAGCATTTACCTCTGTGAGAAGCAGGGGCTCTGAAGGGGGAGGAGGAGGCTGCAGGGCAGACAGGATTGCGCTGAGCGGCTCAGGCCAGGCCCTGAAGGAGGGCTTTATCCACGGTGGGCTTCCCACGGCACGGTGGGCATCGGGAGCTGCCTCTTGGGTCTGGTGTGGGGGAGGGAAACCCCATCTGCGTCCCCCTCAGGGACTCCACAGAGGGTCTCCATGGTCCCCGGGTAAAGGAAGGAGCAGAGAACAGACACGGTGATGTCCTGGGTGGCTCAGCAGGGCTGTCATGTACCCAGGGTCAGGAGGATGACATTCACCTCTGCAGACAGGCCTTTCCGGGCTGGGCGGAGTACAGGCAGGACGCTTCCAGTCGGGGACTCAGGCACCCCGCACGACGCCCGGTTCTCATGGGCCCCATCTTCCACTACTAAAGCACCCTCTCCCCTGTCTCGGAGCACCCCAGCATCCCAACTCCTGTTAGGGATTGGCAGCATGGAATGGTTACCCCATTTTGCAGAGAGAGAAACAGGCCCAGAGAAGGAAAATGGCCCCACCCAAGGTCACAGCTGGGCTTCTGGTAGTGGTACCAGTGTGGGGTGGAAAGCCCCCCTGGGGACTGGGTTGGGTTCTGGGGGTTCCCAGCATCTTAGCATCAGGGGGAGCCTCTAGTTCAGACCACGACATCCTGCGGGCTGGGCATATCCAGTGCCACACTGGTCACTAGGATGAGGGTGCACAGACGGGGCTGCCCATGGAGGTCTCCCTGCAGGGGTCTCGGCTGCATCCAGTCAGGTGTTGCCTAGGCCCACAGCCCGGCGGCCCCTCCCTCGAAAGGCACTGAAGCATCCTGGAGTCTGGCCTGAGACCAAAGCAGGGGCCCAAGGAACCAGGTGCTGCATTGCTGGTTATAGATGGGAGAGCCCAGACCTGGAAATGGCTTTGACTTCCTGTGGACGGACAGCAAAGCCTGGCAGGACCGGGCCGGGAGCGGGCTCTCTGCCTTCCTGCCACGGGGTCTCCCTCGGAGACTGGCTGGCGCTGGTCGCCAAGAAGTCCCACCCAGCACCCTTGTCTGAGTTTCTTATCTTCCTTGGATCCAAATCAGAACTGAGTGCGTCCGTCGGCCTGGGCTTCTCTCTCCCTCGTGGTTAAATTCCTTTTCCCTCCTTCGCTAGTTGCTGTGGCTGTCAGGGAATCTGACGTCTTGCTCACGCCTGTCTCTGGCTTCCTGCCGCGCTCTTGTCCGCAGGTCCCTGGGGGCAGTCGTTGAGGATTTGGGGGAGGGGTGTGTTTGGGGGTTCCCTTTGTCCCTAGATCCTTCTGAGAGCCCTCCCCAGTGCCAGGCCCCCCCATTGCTCCCTGCACCCCACTCCCCATCGGAGGCACAGGTCTCCCAGGGGCTGAGTTCCGGCCTCCAGCCCAGGAAGGGGGAACGAACATGTGGGAGCGCCAGGAGGAGAGACCTCAAAGGGGAGCAGCTGAGGCTTTAGATTCTGCGTGCAGCTGTGTCGGAGGCTCATCCGAGGTTCGGGCTCTCGGGCTCCGGGACCCCGGTTTCTGTGCCACACGTAGGCCAAGGTTGAGGGGCTAGGCCACTGACCTTAGGGGAGACTCGCCACCCTTTCAACCTGGGGGAGGCAGCAAATCCACGTGAAGAGTAGGATGGCTTCCATTCCTGAAAGCCCGACCAACCTTTTACAATTACACTTACATGTGCATGTGATGAGAGGAACAGCAGTGTACGTGCGTCCATCTGTCCCTTTGTGTGCATACGAAGCAGACCTTTGATGTTCATTGAGGACACAGGAGGAACCGTCTCCAATGCAGGACTTGACTTGGGCCACTGAGGGATCGTGTGAAAGTGCCGGTTCGGAGCCGAGGTCTGGGTGGCACCAGAGATTCTGCTTCTAAGGAGCTCTGGGGGGGCTGCTGCTGGTTTGGGGACCCACTCTGGGTAGCCGAGCATCGTGTCCCACATCCTCATCTATAAAATGGGCCGTTCCGCCCACCTCACAGCGCGGTGGGGATTGAGAGATGCTGTTTATTGAGAACCCCACCCCCACACTGGGGCACGGATGCTGGGGGACCTCGGTTGGCTCCATCTTAGGAATGTGTGATTCGAAGGTTTGCCTCAGTAGAATGACATGTCCCCCAGGCCAAGGACCCGCAGACTTGCTCTCAGAGAGCTGGACTCACAAATGACGAAGCTGTGAGCCCTTCCTGCATTTCTCTTATTGTATCAGGCCCCTCAGAGCGGCAGCCACGGGCAGGTTCCTGGGCTCAGGCCACGTGGTGCCTGAGGAGGGTGTGTGAAGCGGGCGCGTCTATTGCAGTCTTAATCCCCCACGTATGTGTTTGTCCCAGGAGGAAGAGAAGTGTCCGGGTGTGTGCCACCCCAAGCATCCACAGGGCAGAGAAGGGCTGGAAGAGATGGGCATTCCACGTGAGCCTCTGCAGAGGGAGGCTTGGCCTTGCCCACTGGCATGTCCAACTAGACTGGACCCCGGGCCCACACGTGGATGCCCCTGCAGATGACTTGTTTCTGCAGGCAGAGGGACAGTGCCCAAAAGACGCCCCCTCAGCCTCAGCCCCTGCCCATCAGACTTCTCTCAGGAGGTTGAGCCCGACCAGTGCTGTGCGCTGGGACTCAGTGGCGGCGGATGCCTGCGATCTGTGCTGACCCCGTGGCACCCACTAGTACATGTGGCTGTCGAGTCCTTGCCGTGTGGCGAGGGCCTGCGAGGAGGTGGCTTTTTTATTTGATTTAATTTAAACTCAGCCACAGATGGGTAGTGGCTGTCACAGTGGATAGGTCGGGTCTGGACTAAGTCTGTTCTGTCCAGGCCACCTCTGTGCCCCCGTATGCCCGCCCCGAAGTGCCTGGGGGCTCAGGAAGGTTCGGGTGGAAGAAGAGAGGTGTAGAGGGGAGACGGTGGCCATCGAGTCAGGCTCCATAATGAGCCCACAGCTTGCCCGGGTCCAGGCTCAGTCCACCAGGGCTGGGCACCTCGAGATCCATGGTGTTTCCAGTTGCTCAGCTCTCTGGGTGACCTCGGACAAGGCCGCACCCTGAGCCCAGAGCTGCCCATGGTGACAGCTTCTGGCTCAGAGACCCAGCCGAGCCCCACCTTCTGAACACGTGTTCTCTTTGAGCCTCACCCCCATGTTGGTGGTCCCAGTGTGAGTGCTCATGTGTGTGTGCATGTCCATGCACAGATGTGTACATGTATGGGTGTGTGTTTCCCTGTCCTGAGCTGACCCTGTCTTGGCCCTTGGCTTCCTCATTCTCCATGTCACTGCCCGGTCCTGTCTCCACACCTCGGCTCCTCTCCCCGCCCCTCCCCGCCCTCCCCGTGGACTCTGTGGCTCTAAGTCCCACCTCAGTTTCTCCATGGCCCGGTGCCCCGGCTGACACCAGTGCTGATCTTGTCGCACCAGCAGCTGCGTGCAGAAATGCTACTGCAGGCCAGAGCGGGCTCAGCAGCACTCTTGCAAGATGTCAGAACTGTCCACCATTACTCTGTAAGTGTGCGTGGCTGTGGCCCGTGTCCTGGAGGGGAGGGGGGCGCATGCCGCCACCGCCTGGAGCCCGCGTCCTGCCGCTGGATGGGGAGAGCAGAGCACAGTGCCCCAGCCCCGAGCACCCCTGGCTGTTGCATGTTGACCTCTGTGTGTCTTGTGAGTTCTCTGCACTCTTGGGGGCGGGGGTGTGGCCCGGGAAAGGAGGCCGTGGGGATGGAGCCGCTGGGGCTTGGCTGCTGCCTTGATGTGTGGTCTTTCCCAAATGTCTTACTTCTCTTGGCCGAGTCTTTGGAATTGCTAAATGATTTCTGCTAGTCTTAGAGCTCGAGTTCATAGGGTTGGTTCCCCCACCTGGGACAGGGACTCTCACTGCAGCAAACCTCACTTACACTCACATGCCCGGTCTGTGTTCACTCTCTGAGTTCCCACCACAACCTTATGAGGTGGGTACTTGTCTATCCCCATTTTACAGATGTGAAAACTGAGGCATAGAGAAGTGAAGTGACCCACTCCAGGTCACATAATTGGCAGGGTGAGGACTTGAACCCAGGGAGTCCTGTCACCTGGCCCCAAGGTGTCTCTGGCCGGAGCAACCACCTCGTTGGACATCCTTTTAAGTGGGATGAGCATCAGTGACTGTGGGAAGCTGTTTTGGGTATTTTTCTGCCATGGATGCCCCTTAGGGGCAGGGGACAGACGCCAAGGGCCCATGTCACTGTCTCTGGGTTAATCAGATCAGATGGTGATTCTGTGACTGTCCTCAGAGGGGCGTTGTGAGGCTCACACCGTATGTCCCCATTCCAAGGCCTCTGGCCAGCTCTGAAGGGCAGAGGCCCCAGAACTCTGGGCCCAGAGATCTCCTCACCTGCCTCTACTTCCCCATCTGCCAGAGGGTCCCTGGGATGTGCTGGGTCCCCAGCAGACTCCCCGCCTGTTCCGGGCAGCCTTAGGGCTGCCAGAGGGAAGGTGCTGTCCCTGGCTGTGCAGCGGGCACCTGATACCAGTTGCCACACTGGCAGCCCATGCCTGAAAGGTCACTGTGTCTCACACACTGACCCCTGGTCATCCACTGACACCACAAAGGCTGGAGAGGGTGGCCCTGTGGTGTCCAGGGTGCTTTTCAAACTGCAGGGAAAAGTCCCTGGGAACGGGCCCATTTGTGGGAGAAGAGCTGGAGGGAGGAAGGCAGGGACCACAGGCACGTCCCAGGGCACCTTCCCTCCTGAGCCCCCCAATTAAGCTGCTCTTGCAAAGTAGCCCCTGTAAGGAGTGTCACCGAGGGGCTGCCTAGATAAACACATGTCTACAACCCGGGCATGTGCCCTGACTGGGAATCAAACCGTGACTTCCTGGTTCATAGGTTGATGCTCAACCACGGAGCCACACCAGCTGGGTTTAAATTTTCATTCTTTAGCTAACACTCCCTGCTGTCTTTGGTGCCAGGCTCCGGGAGCCAGCAGAGGACCGAGTGCCCAGGTCACCGTCAGTGTAAGGACTGAGGCTTTCAGACCGGCTGTGCGGCCATCTGTTCCTCCATGGACAGGCCCTGGGGGTGGCCGCTGTGCCAGCACGTGCTGCCCTGAGGCTAGTGGGGATAGTGAGGTGCCAGCCACCTTCAGGAGCCGCAGCCTGAGAGGGAGAGCAGACGATGGAGGGATAGACCCTGCAGCACCGTGCCTGGGCCCAGATGGGTGCCTGCTCAGATCCTGCTGGCACCAGCCCAGGTCTGAGGATGCCAGGTCTTGCAGAATGGGCTTCCCGCAGGGGGAGAGGGGTGGGCGCCCAGCCCTCGAGGGGCTTCATCTCCCCAGGTTCTCCTTTTCTCCTTCCCTCCATCTTTTTCTTCCCTTCCCTCCTTCCTTCCCACTGGGAAGCCAAGGGTCTTATTCTGGCTCCAGGGATTTGCTTCTGAGATCCGGAGCCCAGTATCCACAGAACATTCTGCCCCAGAAAAGCTGGGATGGGGAAGAGGAAGGGATGCACGGTGTCAGTGCCCCAAATCCCATGGCAGCTCCCACGCCCAGCTGCCCCCCGCATGGACCCAGCCTCCCACTCGCCCTCTGACTCAGCCAGTATGTTGGGGTGGGTGGAGATGGAGTCCCATGCTTGGAGACCCTCTGGGAGCCCCTTTTTCACAGAGCAGAGCCTACAAGGGCACCACTGTGCATACCCTTGATGTCTCACGTAGCCTCTGTGCCCCACCCCTCAGAACAGAGCCCCTCCCACAGGGCCAGGAGACTGGGGCAGGCAGAGGAACCCAGAATTGCTGGCTTCTGGGCAAGAGGTCTCCACCCCCACGCAGACAGCTTTCTCTCCCGGGTGGCAGGCTTCTCCTGCTTGAATGGGAATTGTTCATGCCCGCAGTCAGTAGGTCCTTCCGCCCAAGTCTCTCCTTCTGTGGCCACTCCCCCCACCCACCTCCCTCTCTGTCCTCAGCACCTCCCTGTCACTCTCCATGACTAGCCCCAGACTCTTTCAGGCCCAGGAGCTCCCTTTGCAGCAGGAGACTGTGGGCTTTGCCGAGGGCCCATCACGTTGTCACTCAACGTGTCACATCCCACCCTCGTATTTGCCCTGCCTTCGCTTTCCCCGTGAGGGGTGTCTGTAAATCACATACGCACATGCGCACGTTTAGTGGGTCTGCAGGATGTGGCCTACAGGGACAGGAGCCCTGCAGACGGGGGGCTGTCCCCCCACCCCCAGAGCTTCCCAGGGAGCTCTGGGTGTGGGCTCCGTCGGCCATCTCCCCTCCTAGGCCCTGTGTATGTGGGGAGAACCCTGAAGGAGGGTCCATGGACAGGGCTCTGGGGAGAATAAAGGGCTGGGACTGGGGTTCTCTGCCCTCCATGGCTCTGGCCCAAGCGCTGGTGGCCCCCAGAGTGGACGTCCTCCTCTCTCCCGACAGGCGGCTGGCGCGGTCCACCCTGCTGCTCATCCCGCTGTTTGGGATCCACTACACGATCTTCGCCTTCTCCCCCGAGTATGTCAGCAAGAGGGAGAGGCTGGTGTTCGAGCTGGGCCTGGGCTCCTTCCAGGTACGTGCAGGGGAAGGGGGGGGGGGGGGGGAGCTCACAGGGATCCAGGGCCCTGGCCCTAACCTGCTGGTGGTTCTAGAAGCTTCTTTAACCTGAACTGGGCCTCCAGGATTCCATCTCTGCTGTGAGAGCACTAGACTAGCTGGGGCTGGGAGAGCCTTTGCTGCTGCTGCACTCTGGCTTCTGTGAGACCCGGTGTCTCCTGTCACTGTGGCCGGGTGCCCTGAGCCCGGCCTCTCAGGAGCTCTAAGACGGTGGCTCCCCATCCCTCATCCGCGCTCCAGGTGCCAACAGGGTGGCCTCCAGAGACCGCTTTGTCCTCGTCCTGACTCCAGTCTGTGGACCGGGCACCCCGTGAGCGCTGGGGCTCTGCGTTGCCCAAGTCAGGGCCCTAGGACAGGACCTGGCCGCAAAGTGCCAGGCAAGCGGAACTGGTGGGAGAGCACGCGGGCATATAAATAAATGACCCACGGGGGGCGGGGGTGGGGGAGAGAGGGAGACACACACACACACACACACACACACACACTAGGGACTTCATCTGTGAAGGAGTAGGAAGGTGGGTTGTGAACAAGTGAGCGACGGGGAGGTGGTGTGACAATGCAGAGTGAGCAGCTGAGCAGATGGGCGCACGAGCGGGCCGTGCAGGCTGGGCTGGCTCCCCGAGTGTCCCCAGGTTACAGCAGAGAATCTGTCCTGACCCCGCGTGTTTAAACATGTATTTGACTTGGAGGGTCTGAAAGGTCCTCTGTGTAACTGCCTTGAGTGTCTCCCTCCCCCATCCTAATTCTTATGCTGATGAAACTGCCAGTTAGAAAGACCAAGCCTTAGCTTGGGAGTCAGAGGCTGGGTCCTGTCTCAGCACAAGAAATCTGAAGGCAGAGAATTCCGTAAAGAGCACGGCAGGGCACCGGACCCTGCTGTGCACAAGCACGTGCTCACGGTGTCTGGGTGCGTGCGCAGAGCGTGTGCACTGGGTGTGCGTGTGCAGAGCATGTGGCCTAGGGAGGGGTGCATATAACACAGGGCCGGGCTGTTGTGCTGGGTCTGCCCTTGGGGGGCCTGCAGGCTGCCTGGGGAGCCCAGAGGACATTCTGGGGTATTCAGGGGCGGCCTCGTGGAGGAGGAGGGATCCATCGAGCTGGCCTTTGGGAAAGGGAAGGACTTGGCCAAGGTGTGAGCTCGGAAGCCAGGTGTGTCCATGGGAGGGGCTCCCTCCTCAGCCAGGTGGCTCCGTGGCTGTGGCCGTCTTGGTGGAGCAGAACTTTCTCATCCCAGCTTCCCGGGCGGCAGGTGGCCCCATCCGAGTGACCGTGTTATTCTGCTCCCTGGTCGCTCCCGCCCCGTCCCGCGCACCCTGCGTGGAGGTCCTGGCGGGCACGTTCAGGTGTCCTTGCTCTCTCTCCCCAGGGCTTCGTGGTGGCTGTTCTCTACTGCTTTCTGAACGGGGAGGTAAGACCCTGCCCTCTGGCTTCTCAGCAGTGGAGGTGGGCTCGCTGGGGAGCAGATAGGGTGCCACCTGCTGGCACACAGGGCCCGTAATCCAGACCGGGGCTCTGCCAGGCTCCCAGACCGGACTGGGGGTGAGGGGTGGGGATGGGATGGCATAGCGCCAGGGAGTCCTGAGAGCCTCCTCCCCCCACCCCCGCTCCTGTGCCAGACTTTCTCCCACTTCGCTGCACAGCCGAGGCCCAGCCTCTGGAGCAGATCCGCCCCCCCCCCCCCGCCCCCAATAAAGGCATCAGCTGCAGAGGCAAACCCTCCGGGAGGGCTCTCATAGGATGTGCCTTAGTAAAGAAGAACGGAAAGTGAGGAAGGGCAAGGCAGAGGAGTGGTGCCCTCCACTCAGGACGCTGTGATGGGCAGGGGTGCTGAGCGGGGAGCTGGACAAAGTTCAGCGCTGCTCCCAGCAGGCACCTGGCCCAAACCCGCCCCTGTAGGGAGAGGACTGTGGGGACTTGGCAGAGACCACGCGGAGAGGCCTGGCACCTTCTAGTGATGCTCATGTCCAGTGCTCTGCTCTTGGGGTCCCCAGATCTAACCTCTTAGGGTGATGCTTTGAGCGGAGCCCAGACCAGAGGTGCTGAGGTGGTGGGGCTGGGGGTGGATGGGAACTTGTGGCACCAGGCTTGGTTCTTGGCTGGGAGACTCGGCGGGCTTCCCCACTCTGCATATAAGAAAGAAGATTTGGTTCAGTGGTCGCCGATGCCCTACAGCAAGGCCAGACCAGGCCAGACCCGGAGAGGCAGAGGGGAGACAGGGAGGACACAGGCTTGCCCGGGGCTGCTGTGGACGGGGAGCTGGGCTAGAGAGGTGCCAGTACCATTTCCAGTTGTGCAGTCTGTGCACCCCACCCCACCAAGGTTCTAGATGGGAGGTGCACAAAGACAGGAATGGGGAGTGCCCCCCAAACACCATGCTAAGATCAAAGGGGGGTGTCCGCCCAGGGGGTGCATTATTTGTGGTTCTCAGCCCGGACTGCATCCCGGAGTCCCTGGGAGTTTTCAAATAGGCGCAGGACTTCCTCAGAGATGTTGACGTGCTTGTTGGGGGTCGGGTCCGAGCGTCTGGGTTTTTAAAGCTCTCCACTCGAGTCTAACGTGCAGCCCATGTTGATGGTCAGCAAGAGGGCGCCTTGCCCCGATCCGTCCGCCCAGGGCCAGTGCTGCAAAGCTTCCTGAAGGCCCCTGGCGGCTGGTCACTGGCCGTGGACACTAGAGGCCACGGACCCCAGGAAGCCACGCGCGGGCCTGGCTCAGCAGTGACGTGGGCTCGGGGCTCGGTCCGATCCTCACAGGCCTTCCTTTCCCACCGGGGGCCGGGCTGCCAGCTGCCGTTTGGGGGTGGGCGGGGCGCGGCTGGAGGTGGCCGGGCCAGTCGGGGCGGCCCCAGGGCAGGAGGCAGGCGGACAAGGGAGGTCGGAGAGGATGTTGCTGGGAGGTGACGGCCCTGCTGCTCCCTGCAGGTGCAGGCGGAGATCAAGCGTAAGTGGCGGAGCTGGAAGGTGAACCGCTACTTCGCCGTGGACTTCAAGCACCGGCACCCGTCCCTGGCCAGCAGCGGGGCGAACGGGGGCACCCAGCTCTCCATCCTGAGCAAGAGCAGCTCCCAGATCCGCATGTCCGGCCTCCCGGCTGACCACCTGGCCACCTGAGCCCCGTCCGCCCTCCTCTCCTCACGCCAGGCTGGGCTGCCAGTGGGCGCCGGCCACGCATGTTGCCTCTTTTCTCCCTTCGGGCAGGCTCTGGGCCGGAAGCCGGGCTCCCCGAGGGGGGAGGAGGATGCAGGTGCAGAGGGTATTTCGCCCCCCTTCCAGTTTGGCGCTGGCCCCACCCACCACAGACCCCTGGGCCCTGACCCCAGACGTGTAAATACTCATCAGATGTGGGAAAGTTGTACCATCCGGTCCCTTCGTCTAGTGTCCCTGCCCACCTCCAGCAGGTCCCAGCACCACCGCCCCCGTCCCCCCCAGCCTCAGCGAGCGCCGGACCTGGTCCTGAGGCCGACACCCTTGCTTTGGGGGTTCGGGTGGGGCCAGCCGGACAGCCTCTCAGAGTATCTGACTCTCGAGGGGACTCCTCACCAGCCGGGGGCCCTTCTCAGGCCTGCCCGTCGCCGAGGCCATCCAGGGTCCCACGAGGATGCCGGAGCGGCCTTCAGCGCAGGCCAGATGTGAGGGCCCTCCTGCTCGCCCAACCTCTCGGTGTCCGGGTGCCCAGCTCCTGGGTTTTGGGCTGTGGGACCGCTCCAGGGCGCTTCCTTTCTGAGACTGCAGTCTGGGTGCGGGGCTAAAGGTCGGGGAACGTTCTGGTGCTTTTCATTTGGCCCGTGGAAGACGGCCAAGAGCTGGAAATGTGCATCTGATGGGAAGGAGATGGACGGGGAAGGACCCATGGAAGCCTTCACCATCTCCGTGATTCACCCGGACGCACGCGGGCAGGGAGTCACCCGGTAGCCTCCCTTCTGCTCCCCCCCACCCCCCCTCGCCCAGGCATCAGCTGTGGAAGGAGAGATGGATGCCTGGGAATAACTGCTCCCCAGCCACGTCCACCACATAGAACCCCCAAGTCCTCCCTAGCTCCCTTCCCCTCAGTCAAAGCCATGACTAGGATGAAGCACCTTAGCCCTCCATGGGCCCGATTCCAGGCCCAGGAGCCCCCCCCCCTTATTTCCCCCCTTGCCCCTCGCTACCCCGAGGAGCCCCAGTCACTAGCTCCTGGGGCTGGGCCTCAGCTAGGAAGTCTCTCTGAGACCGGGGCAAAGACCCCCGTGTGCTCTTGCCCTTGAGTCACAGGAAGGATGCTGGGGTGTCCTCGATGCTGAAGGGGAAGCCACACCCCCCATGCCTCTTAGGAGAAACTGCAGATGGAAGGAGTTGGGTACCCCAGCCCAGTCCTGGCCCCCCACAGTGTGAGGAGGAAATGGGCCAGACCAGGTTTGGGGTGGGGTGGGGTGGAGGATGGCGTTGGAGTGCCATGCATGACTCCAGTGTGGGCCTGGCGTCGTGCTGTGTCAGCTCTGATGTCCCAGCTGAGTGTCTGTGGACTGGCTTCACGGTCGTGCCTGGGATGCTGGTGGAGCTGGGGTGGACGGTGGGGGTGGCTTTGTCTGGTTTGAGAAGGAGGAAGGGGCCTGGCTTGTGAGCTGCTCGTTACTGGAGAGGCCGTCCAGCGACCGGGTAAGGCTGAGCTGTGTGGGTTGGAGAATAGGAGGCCCTGGGTCTTTGGCAAAATCAGAGGGCAAGGAGCTGCCTCCACTTCCTGGGCACATTGGCGACGCAGGCTGGCCGTGGGCTGTGCTGCGGTCCTTCCGTCTGGCCTCTGACCTCGAGACCCCCCTCCCCTGCTCTGCGAGACAAGTGTGTTACCCAAAGGCGTGTCCACGGGCCACCTTGCACTCCGAGGGGCCTGAGCGGCTTGGAAGGGGCCACAGGCTGGGATTCAGAGACAGGGGGCCTGCCGCCAGGCTCAGACCACTGGGCCTGTGGACAGAGCGCTCCCTGTCTGGGTCTCAGTTTCCCCATTTGGGAGATGAGGGGACTAATGCGTCTCCAGGCTCTGTGCTTCCGTAATCCTCCAGTCCAGGTGGAAAGCGGGTAAAGGGCGTCACCCAAGGTCTGGATGTGTACGTTTGAGTAGGTATGTGGGCGATGCTGCTTATTCTGAGGAATGGAACAGCCGCCTCTTCCACGTGGACACCACAGCGGAAGCTGGTGGGCTGGAGGGAGGCGTCGAGCCAGGGACAACTAGACCAGTGGCTTGGGCATGATGTGCAGACCCAGCCCTGACCTTGGCCGGGACAGTGGTCACCTCCAGATCGTGGGGTGGGGGAGGTGTCCCCCAAGCATGGCCCTTGTTCCTTACCCTGCCCCATCAGTAGGCCTGCTTCACTGTGAGAGAGGCTGTGACTTTCTATGGAGACCACATCAGCAAAAACAAAACCAGCCCCGAATTCCCCGTGCTGCCGCCTGAGCCCTGGGCCTGGGTCCTCTTGGGCCCCAGGTTCCCGCTGGTTTGTCACTTTGTTTTTCTCTCTGAACCAACGATTGCCCGTCGTGTCAGCCGAGGTCCCTGCCACATTTGGGATGTTCTAGGAGGCTAGGCAGCTGGCCTTCAGGGTCACAGGCATGGGGGGCGAGAGCATGAGGTCCGGGGAAAGCCTCGCCCTCTGGTCCTTTGTTTTCAAATCTGTAAAATGGACAGTAAGACTAGATGGTTTGTCCCGTCCAATGCACCTCTGGATTCTCTGTCTAAACACCAGTCATCTGCTGGGAATGGGCCCTGGCCAGGATCTCAGTGTCTGCCTGGTGTGGGAAGGATAAGAAGCCGCATTGAGTGACGAGGGGGAGGACGTGGGGAGTGGGGAGGCTGGGGAGGGGCAGAGTTCCCGACTCCGTGTTTCTACAAGGTCATCGCCAGGAAGGGGGCGATTCTTGCTCCATGCAACCTGCAGGACAGAGCTCACCAGGGGAGGCTGAGCCCTCCTGGGGATGAGGCAGTGTCGGAAAGGCCCAGCCCTGGGACAGCGGGACTCAGGCAGGGAGCCTGTGAGGGGCAGAGTGTGAGATTTGGGGGTTCAGAGGCTCTGGTGGCCCCCAGGGCTGAGAGCTTTGTGACTGTCCCTATGCCTGAGGCCCGGCCACATCCTCTGTCTAGTGGGCAGCTCTCTGACCCACCCAGGGGCCTGTCCTTCTCGGACCCCTCCCCTCCCTGAACTGGCTACTCTGGGGGCCTGACATTCCAGGCCACCCCCGACCCAGGGTGCTCTCACCTCCCCCTGACCCTGTCCCTTCCGGAAGGAAAGCTGGGAGAGGCTTCCTGTCATTCTGTGAGTCCCCTTGACCCCCTCAAGGCCACTCCAAAGTGAAAGCAGTGAGTGCTTTGTCACCATAGATTCCTGCCTGAGCCTGGTGACCAGGGCACAGGGACCTGGGTTTCTCCCAGCTTTGCCGCCGGCCTGCTGTTTGGCCCTGACTCCTCTGTGCATCTTCAGGGTGACTCACAAAGTACTAGAGGTCCAACCTCCCCCTTGGGCTGATGACAAAATGCAGGTGGGCCTAGCCTGGCCCTGCACCTGCTGGGATCCCGTGCAAATATGCGTGAGGACAGGGCCCTGCACGGGGGGCCCCCCATGAGACCCTCAGGGAAGCATCTGTTCCAAACACGTTCTGCCTGGCGCAGGGCAGGGCTCTGGCCACAGAAGTTGTTAGGACTCCGGAGTGCAGGAGGGGTGGCGGGGTCACCGTCATGTGGGGGACCTGTGTGCCACCCTGGGCTGTCCCTCCTGGCTGAACCTCCCTGGGCCGCTGCTTCCTGACTCGCGAAGCGGGAGGACATGCTGTGCGTCTGTCCGCGGGCCAGGGAAGGGGCGGCAGTGAGACCCCTGTGAGAAAGGGCTTTGGTGACCACACGCGTGTGGGGATGGTTATTGGGGGAAGACCCCCGAAAGGCTCCCTGTGCTCTTTGTCAACGGCCCCGAGCCCTCCTGGGGTAACCTTTGTCCCGCCTGTAGAAACCTACCAGCGCCAAGGAGAGGCGAGGCCAGGCCCCGATGGACACCCTGCCAGGGGTATCTCCATCGTGAGTCAGGTGGTTCTTGGGTTAGGACGTGGGTGCTGTCAGAGTCCCCTGCCACCCACAGGAATCCTCCAGAGATCTGGGACGTCCCTCAAGTGGGCCGCGTGCCCATGCCCTCTCCTTCCCTGAACTCCAGTCCTGGAGTATGTGTGCTTGGCCACGTGTGTCTTGTGCTGTGTCCGTCTGCCGTCGCTTTGCCCTGTGAGGACCAGTGTGGGGCCACCCTGGCATCCCAGACGCGGCTCCAGGACCCCTGTGGGAGCCGGGTCAGCCTGGGCCATCTCGCTCGGTAAAGACCAGCCACACAGACCCGCTCCCGCTGCCACTATTAATGCTGTGCTCACCCCTCGTCCGGGATGTTGAGGATGTCAAACTGCTGTAGACGACTCAATAAATGTCTTCTCATTTTTCCTGGTGGCTCAGACTTGGCGACTGTCTTACAAAGCCCTGAATAATGACTGTCCGCTGCAGGTCGGGCAAGGGCAGTGCCAGGCCCTCTGGGGATGGGCGGACCACTCTGAAGATGGCGCGTCAATGGGGAGTTAGCTGTTGGCCCTGCAACGGGAAAGGCCATTGGCCAAATGCGCCTCGTGGGGCTGGGAGGCTGGGAGGCTGGGAGGCTGGGAGGCTGGTGGGTTCTGTTTCAGACACAGGCCCACGGAGAGTGAGGGAGGCCGACGAGCTCTTTCTGGCCCAGTCATTTCTCTTTAAAGAAGCCTCACATCAGCTCCTGTCTCATTGGCCAACAGGTGATCACTTGGCCACACGTCACTGCACCCCATAACATTGGAAGGAGAGAATGGGCTCTGGCCGGCAATCAGTAGTTTGTGCCATAGCCTCAAACCCCCAGATCTTTAGGGGTGTAGGTGGTGGTCCCTACGCCACTGGGAACAAACCAGGGGTGCAGTCTCCATCCTGGATCAGGGAGTCCGTCTGGGGGTCCTCAGTCAGAACTGAGGGAGCGGCGATGCCCACCGACAGGAACCACTGTGGGGGAGGTGTGAGGGCGCGCTCGCACCCCGCTGGCTGCCTCTATCCCTGCTCTCTCGCGTCTGCGTTTCCTGGGTGCCTTCTGCTCCCTCGTGGCTTCTACAAATTAATCCTGCGTTCACTTGGGAGATTATCGGAGTAATGATGTCGTCCACCTTATTTTTTTGGTCTTTTAATTTCTGTCGGTTGCCTTCCAGGGAACTCAATTTCGATGCGTCTGAGCCTTCAACTTGGTTAGACTGCCCCCTGGTGGACGCCCACGGCAGCGTCCTTCTGGTCTGAGAATAGGGCCGGCTTCCCTGCCCTGTTCTGGAGGCAAAGGTGATGATTGCACGTGTGAAATTCAGGCACCAAGACCTCTCCTAACTTTCAGGATGCCGTGTTGTAAGAGGCTAATGTAGAGATAATTTTTCTTGGACTCTGAAAAAGTTGTTTCCTAAATTTCTATAAAGGAGAGGCTTAGGGATATCAACTTTATTAGAAGGAGGATGGTGGCAAGAAGGCATGTGGCTTTCATTTATTTAGTCAACACCTGCCTGCTGAGCATCTAACTCTTCATTTATCAAGTATTTCTTGAGCACCTACTGTGTGCTGGGAGCTGCTGTGTCACTAGTGAGCCTCAGGGATCAGGGCCCCGCTGTCAGGAGCTTACCTTCTACATAAAGGAAAGAAATGAGGTTGATTTCAGGTAGAGAAAAGTGTCAGGAAGACAGTAAAGCCATTGATAAATAGTAAGTACTGGGAGTGGGTGGGTAGGCTGAGACAGGGCAGCCAGGAAGGCCTATCCAAGATGCAGGCATTTAAGCATCTGGGTGTTCTGCTCCTGCCTCATTGGCCCATCCTGGGGGGATCCCTGCAAATACCTTGGGGAAGAGTATTCCATGTAGAGGTACCGGCAGGAACAAATGCACCGCATATGAAATAATGACCATGTCCAAGGAAGGGTGTGCCACTTCCTGGGGCCATAACAAATCACCATGAACTGGGCGGCTTAACACAACAGAAATCAATTCTCTCAGTTCTGGGAAGTGCAAACGCAAGGTGTTGGCATGGCGGTGCTCTCGGAAGGCCCAATAAACACTCTGCCCCGTGCCTTTCTCTTGGTTGCTAGTATTGCTGCGCACCTGGCATTCCTTGGCTTGTGGACGCATCCCTCCAGTCTTTCCTCAGTCACCGCCCGGACTTCTCCCTCTGTGTCTCTGTGCCTCCCTGTCTTCTGCTCCTCTTTTAGGGATGTGGGACCCACCCTAGTCCAGTATGACCTCATATTAATAAGATCTGCAAAGATCCTATTTCCAAATAAGATCACCTTGACAGGGAGTTAGGATTTCAACGTGTCTTTGGGGGTGGGGTGGGGGGGGGGGACAGGGGGAGTATCTCAACACACAACAAAGGGCGATTACGCCAGAAGGTCCACTGGCTGAGCTGACACACGCTTTGCCTTAGCTCATTTGGAAGAGGTGAAGGTTGATGATACATTGCGGTGCAAAAGGGGATGAGAGCCTCCTGTCACCCACAGTCACCCCTCAGCCCCACCAGTGTGTTCCAGTAAAAAGACACGTGTCAGCCCTGCCCCTGCTATGGTCCCTGCTTTTCTTGTGTTTCTCATGGAAATTGACCCCTAAGACTCCATTGCCTGCTACACCACGACTCCGGCGGTGGCATGTGCATCCTTCGGGGGCCCAGCCTCACCCCCGTGAAGCTGGATGAAAGTCATTCATGGGGCCTGGACCCTGGCCTTCTCTCACTGTCCAAACACCCCCAACTTCCCAAGAAACTGAGCGCCCCCCTCAAAGCAGAGACAAGATTCTGACAGTCAGCCACACATCCTCACGGACGCCGGAAGCCTGTATAGAACCATCACTTACATCAATTCTGACTCAGAGAGGCTCTCCCATGGGGATGTGGGGGTGACGTCTCAGCTTAGTCAGCGTGTCCTCCCCAAGCTCAATGGGAAGGGCCTGTGTTCTGCCCCAGGGCTTCCTCTCAGGCCACCCCCGCCCCCCCAGTCATTCTTCTCTCTTTCCTGTAGACAGCCCCCACCCCAGTCTAGCCTGTTCTTGCTACGTCCCCCTCCTCACCAGGTCCCTCCTCTCTACCCTTGGCCTTGACTCAGGCATGCCGGGGTGGTCAATGTTTTTCTCTAGCTGATACTCTTGGTGCCCCTGTCTTGTGGGTTTCCCTGACTCTCGGGAGTCATCTGTGGTTTTCTCTTCAATTCTCTTCTCTTTTTATAGTAAATGGGCCAAGCATCCATTTCTGTGCATGAACCATGACCTCGGTGAAACGTCCCGACTCTTCGTCTCTGGGCACAATTTATTGGCATAGACAAGCTTACTCAGGTGGCACCATGGAGAGAGGCCAGTGAACTTGGGTTCCAGCACCACAGACAGTTCCAAGACACCCTGCCTACTAGAGCCTGGGCTCTGTGGTCACTGCATCTGATGTGAACAAAGGCAGATCTAGGTTTCATTGGTTCCTGAAACTCATGATTTTGGGGGTGTCCTCTTTAATAAAAAAATGCAAACATTTACATTCAAAATTGGTATACTAATGAGGGTTTTTTAAGAATGAGAAAAGTTGACAACCACTATAAGTATTATAAAGCCCAGATAAATAACATCATATTTGTATTAATTACTCTGATACTTTTTGCCTGGCTCCATACATGGCAAACTTTGTCTCTATCACTGCTCTGACATCACAGGACATTTCCATGTGATGACATGATCCCTGGCCCTCTGCGTTTGTATGCCATGCTGAGTACATACAGGAGTATTCCTGGATGGATGGTAATAATCTAACAATATAATGAAGCAACAGTACAGTACTGATTTGTAACCCCAACTGAATGTATCTCTAGCTTAACTTCCCCTCAGCTGGGTCCCCAAAGCGCTCACGGTCCGTTCAGCACTCCCCGACATGTGAGATGGTGTTGGGGTCTGTCTTTTGCAAGGTATTGTATCTTGACTGCTGGAGGCATCTGGTATACCTCGGGTGGGGGCAGGTAAGGAAAGTTTGCTTTCCTTTGCTCTTGAGCCTGATTATTAATGAATAAAAAGGATAAGAAAAGAGTAAAGAAGTAACATTAGAAGCAGGGAAAGTAGCATTAGCAAAGACTTCTTCACTTTTTTTTTCTGAAAAGCTTGCCATAGGCCCAAAGCTGGTTAAATGCCTCTGATGTTTTCTTATAAAATTCTGTACTGAGGCCACCCTGAGTTTTGGGCACTCATACAAGAAAGGTTAATGGCACATCTATTAAGTTCTATGTGCTTCAGATGCCTGGGACTAAAACCATCAGTTAAGGATAAGATATTTTTTCTTTTTTTCTGGAAAGAAGTCCTTCCACTGGAGTGAGAGGGGTATGCAGAAGGGTTGAGGCTGAAGATGGAATGAGTTATATCTTCAGGGGAGTTTAAGGAAACTGTGTTTTACATGACTCACTCCAGCCGTCAAAATGTCAGAGCCAGCCGTGGACCCAGACTGGCTGGAGCCCCACGCCTGAGGGGGCCACACGCTGAGTTCTGAGGAGCCTGCGTGAGACCTAGGCTACCCTGAGCCTCCAGGTGACAGCCAGGCCACAGGCCAGGCCACCTGCAAGCCCCAAGTGCAGAAGGTAGGTCTTCTGGGCTCTGCAACTGGCCTGGCCAGGGGTCCCACCTCCTCATTCATTTGCATCACAAAAAGAGAAATACGTAAGACAGGTCGTGACACAACCGGCCATTTAACCGGAACCTCCAGCTACGGAGACAGCAGCAAATGTAAACAGCCTCAGGAGCTGAGAGCAGACTCTCTCCCCAGTCCAAACGTGCAGGCACGCTCCAGGTCCTGACTTCATTGGGCGGGAAATCGGTGCGTGGGTCTGCACTGCCCTCTGCTGGTCACTGGCTCACCAGCCAGGGCAGCCTAGCGCTCAGCTCTGGAAACCACGGGAGCTCTTTGTTTCCACACAAGGACTCATTAATGAGATAAGGAGGGGCGAGAGCAAGTTACAGGATTTCCTATAATTAACACCAGGGGGGAAACTTACATCTTACATTGTTTGTGGAAAGAATGCGGCCTAGACAGGATTTCAGTGGATGTAACCCTTTGCATTTCCTGTAGATGAAAAAAACACTTACTCCCCCACCCCCATCCCCCAGATTGCAAGTAATAGTGTCCAAACCTGTAGACAATTTTATAAGATTTTATTTGAGCCAAACCGACCACATGCCCAGGAGCAGGACCTCAAATGCTTCAGAGAGTGACAGTGTCGCCGTTTCTTTCACACATTTGGAATGAAGGGGGGATGAGGAAGAGGACAGGAAAGTGGGAGAAGCAGGGTGGGGATTGGATTACAGGGCAATTAACAAGATTATGTGCTTCTATGAGGGTAATTACACTTAGAGGGGTCTGGAAAGAGGGTTATTTGTGGTATTTCA